AGTATGGAAGGACAGTTATCTTCTTCGTCCCTTTTCTATTTTACTTTTTTCTCATTTTGATAAGGCGCCACCGTTTGACCCGACCCCACCGGTCCCTAGGTAATCTTGCAGACTTGTTGCAGGCGTGCAGGCTGGCGGGAAACCCCTTGTTCCCGCGGCCCCGTCGTTCGAAAGGCAATAATTAATCAATCAGTCTACTACCCTCCCGAGAGCTTAGTGGTCCTCTAGTGGTCCAGACACCACCGCACCACACACATGGAGACATTCCCATTGTCTTCCTTCCTTGTCGCTGCCCCGACAGCGTAGAGTGGTAGACTCACTACTCGTAACATCTAGATTGGCTTTTTATTTGCTATGTGGTCGATCAGTAGTCCATTATCTTGAATGGGGAGAAATGTCACGAGGTTGGGTATTAAGATACATAGTAAACATATATAGCATGTACAGTACAGCATCTGTTTTAACCTGGTCAAACAAAAAGGAATGGAGAGCCCCAACATCAGATCAATCTTCCCTTCTAGCGTGGTGGGGATATACTCAGGTGCACGTCAAGCGAACTACGCGTCTTGCGAACCGGATGGTCTGGACACGGGTAGTTCTTCTCTTTCTGATGGTCCAGGCCAGAGGATCTTCATCTTACAAGATTACTGAAGGGTGGTGAGTTTAATAAGTGGCTGAGTCTGCTGTATTTAGTACAGTACATGATCAATTATACCGTGAGACCCATGATGTCCGACCTTGAATCCCACCCGACCATAGGGGATCAATCTTAACTGCAGCAAAAAAATGCAATCGGCAGAGCTTCCCAGACCTAAGTTACTTCAATTTAGCATGTGCACACACACACAAAGGAATTGCGCATCTGGCGGTTCTTGAGCCCTGCAGCAGGATTTGGCCAGAGCATGTCAGCAAGAGGTATGGAGTAGCTAAACAATCAAGAGGAGCAAGCGATACAATAATCAGCAGTGGAGAAGGGAAAGCCAAGGTCACTGATTGCCAGACGCTTCCCGATGGCGTACTGGTCAGGAGTAAGGTTTTGTGTGTTGACTTGAAGACTGGGAAAGCTAGGTAAAAGCTGGGATTCAGTAATTCAAAGGCACGTAACGGATTACCCATTGCTGAGATTACTTTGATTTGTATTATCTAGCGCATATAGTGCGCATATAGTCTCTGGAGTATGAGTATCATCGACTACTATGACCTGGAAGGCATGTATGTTGAAATGATATGCTCTGGTTTTATGTGGTAAATGGGTGTGCCAGAGACAAGAAGATCTATGAGTAGTACAGTACATACGGAGCCGATACCGGGCTAGGATCGGGAGCAGCAACAAAGCAATAATACACCACCGGATCATATACAGTAGGAGGAAGGAACATTAAAACAGATCTGTAGAGAATTTCCGACCCACGCCGCTTCCTTGAGACAGGAAGTGAACATGAAACCCACTCATGGAACCCGGAAGTTAACCAAACCACTCCACATTTCGCGGCAAAAGGCAAGTTGCCGCCCTGTCACCGTTGGAAAGTGGATGTATCACTTCTTGTCGGGACTACACATGTTTCGAGTATCCTACGTAGTCAAATATTATCATTATTATTATTATCATTTGTTATTATCATTGTTATTACCATTATTATGACTGTTATTGCCATCATATTTTAGACGATATCCGTTGGTACCTCCGCCCAAAGCCAAGAAGTCCCATGTCCTAGTCCGGACACAATGGGACGGAGGGGTCCACTCGCTTGGTTGACTCGATGAGATCTCAATCTTAGAGGGCTTGGATAGAGAGGACTGGTCACATCAGTTGCAGGCTTGCAGGCTTGCTTCCTGCTTGCCTACTCGTTCCATACGTGTTACACGGCGGTTTTGTCCTGATAAGGTCGATCAGTTGAGAACTTTGGGCCTGAAGTGCCGAAAGTAGACAAGGTGGTTGCTAAGGTAGGAACTTGAAGACCCCAGATCCCAGCTAGCGGCCGGTGAGTCAATATTCCTGAAATGATAGTGGTGTTAATTGATTCGAGTGGCTCACGAGGTACAGTATCATACTACGCTGTATGTACTCAAGTAATATGATCATTACCTGGGCCGATACTTTCCAATTAAGGCCTGGGGGTTGGGGCTCGTTCGCCGTTGGCAGATCCATCGCGACGGTCTGGTACCACCGGCCAGCCCATCAGACTTTAGTCATTGGGTGGAAGGGAATACGGCACCGTTTGGTTCTCGTAAATTTACATTTTGCAATTGAGGAACCGAGCGAGGCGGCAACTTAGAAAGCAAGAAACAAGGAATCACACTCTGACGGATGACAGCCTCAAAGCCAGAGTCGGAGAATTATCTGAACCTATCTTATGAGGAGGTAGGGTTTTATCGCCAGTGCTTTGGTTGATTAGGTTGAAAGTTGACAGAACCCTATTTTTGTCAGTACAGTGCTCCACTGCTACATCTACTCATACTTACACACCTACTGGGAGCCAGTGGAAGGTAATTACTTACTCCAGTACTCTCTGAGTTGACTATGTAGAGTAAATATATAATCAGACCTTCCGCCTGCCCTCTTACCCACAGCAGAGACTGTTGACTCCGTTTCGGCCGAGGCTCTGGGAGACTAGTCGACTTGACGCCGTCGTTGTTACGCATCCTCCCCATTATTGCCCATATTCGCCCTTTGGTTGGAATGGAGCTCTTCAGACCATTTCCACCTCCCGGTTTAGGATGATGGCGTTCTCCACAAGGAGGAACCATGTTCTCTGGCTGTCTGTTATTACTTTTATTGTTTTATCTTGTTATTTCGAATTTGGGATAACTCTCTGGTTAGCTCGCAGTCCTTCTTCGCCCTATTTTACTTCATTTAGTTTTTATTTCATCTTATTTCATCTCACTTCTTTTCTTTCTAAGGAGAGGGGGGTGGGGGTATTTCCTTTCTCCTCTAATTTTCCTGAATCACCTATCCCCTTCTGTTTTTGCCTTCCCTGGTCTATGCACCATTCTATGTGTGGTCATGTAATGAACTTTTCCTCCCAGTCTCATAAAAGGATTTTTCAATTGTCCAACACTAAGCCTTTGTGGCTTGGACTGTTCGTCACTCATATTGCCTTCGATGTTACCACTCTGCCTTTTCTGGTTCATCCCTATCATTGCCATACATGTTCAGTGACGCGACACCAGTCTATCACAGCTTAAGGAAGCAGAGATCGGTGGATATCCCGCATGTCCCGCCCGCGGCCTTGCCTTCTTCTTTCCAAAGTTCGCGACGGAAGATAGTGGGTACGAACTCCAGCGAAGGGCCCTGAGATATTGTGCTTACCTTATGGGCTACAGTCGTAGTTTGAATGGGTTTTATTTCACCGTCTAGACAATCACCTCACCAACAAACCAAGTCACTATTATAACCAGACCGAGGCTAGGCTCGAACGCTCCCGGCGAGGTTTGACCGCCAGGAAAGTGTTCCATTCCAGTATAGTTTAGTATTCGCGGGTGGAACCGTTGTTCTTATGGCCGTTCCCTTCTCTTTATGTATTGTTGAATTGAATCAATTTCTTAGGTCCTCTATTTCTCTCTCCCCTCCCCCCCTTCTCTTTTTCTCGTTTGTTTCCCGGTTTTTTTTTTTTTTTTTTTTTTTTTTTTTTTTTTAGTTTACGGCCATTACCTTGTTCCTATTCAATTCTTGGGAGATAATTGAACCCAAGAAGGTGCTCTCTCGATAACGGTGTGTGAATACACTTTTAGAGGTGATGAATGAGAAAACCCTAGGAACATTAGGTAGGTATGTACTTCAACGACAAGGCATGGCACTGTACCCTGCTGAAGTCCGTTTCACTAACTACTTGGTACTTCGTAGTTCAGATGAGATCGCAATGAAGTCAGTCAGTCAAAATGACCCTTTCTGCTACTGACCAGTGTAGTCCACAAGGCTGGTATTAATTCGAACCTGTATACGGAGTAGATAGTTATTCTGTACTGAAAGCTAGTGAAGTGACTTGCTGGGAAATAAAAAATAACCATCTACCGAATACGAGTAAATCAAAGTACTGTGTAGGATACCTAATTAATCTCAACGGTCAATCCATGCCTACCTAATCATATTAATGTGCTTCATTTATTAAACGGCTTCCCGAAAAAAAACAATCCCCCCCCTCCCCCCCACCACTGGGCCCTGGCCTCGCCTCTTCAATTTTAGCCTCTGTCTCTTGTTCCCCATACCTATTGCCTGCTACCTTAGTATTAGCTACCACCAGCACCTTGCTACGTACTCTATTACTGTTGAGCTTTTCATTTGCTGTCTCTTCCATCAGCTGTCAATGCCGATGATCTCGTTTCTCATGCATGTCCAGGCGTTTCCACTGTCGTGTCTGGCCTTTTTTTCCTTTCCTCTTGTCTGTCACTCCTGATCTTCACGATTGATTTCAATGACTTTCATCTCCTGCCTCTGTCGTTTCTTCTTTCTTGCCGCTTGTATACCTTGTGCCTAGCCAGTACTTTCCCACTACCACATTTGTTGGTCTACCAGTCAGCCCGGCACAACTTCAGAAGCTTTTCCAACGCCATATTGACATATCAAGTCACCATCTGCTATCCCCGTCCCAGAAACCATTCTTCCATCCTGCTCTTGTTGTTTTGCAGCTTCTCTTCCTTTACGGCTCACTCGTGGACAGGTTCCTACCCGTCAGCTTTCTATATTCCGACAATCTTGGAAGCACCCGGGTGCCAATTTTTGCTCCTCGCTCTAGAGATTCCTGGCTTCTGTGAACCGTCGATATTTTCGGGAGACAGAAATAAACACAGACGTATCCGTGGATTGGGCTTATTAATCCTGTTCAAGGTCATTTTTCTACATTCGCTGAAATTCCACATCGCGTACGGTAACCTGTGGGAGTACCTTGCACAAACAGCTCCCATTGCTTTGTCTCCTCTTCCGGCCTTGACTGCTCCTCTAAGCCATACTAGCAGCAAGTTCTTCACCCAAGAGCAGCAATCCGTCGTTGTTAATCGCGCATATGATTGCGTTACAAAACCAGGCCATCTTACCCTCCGCCAAAGTGGATATCTCACTGTTACTGAAACCCCAAGATGAAGAAGAGACCGCCTCGGTGACTAATGCGCCCTCCTATGCGACGAATACGATATCTCAAGCTTCATTGGTCCCGGCTCTGCCTGTGGCGACACCGTCTACTATTCATTCAGCATCGGCGGTCCCGCCGCTCACCAAGGTTCCCTCCTCAGTCCCTGTCAAGCGTCTTCAACCAGCACATACGGCGGAGTCCCCTGCCAAGAAGCAGTCAAAATGGTCTCCCGAGGAAGATGCTCTTATCATCGAGTTGCGAGGCAGTGGTATGAAGTGGGAAGATATCAGCAAGCGCCTTCCGGGGCGAAGTGCCATTAGTTGCCGTCTTCACTATCAGAATTATCTGGAACGCAGAAGTGAATGGGACGAGGATAAGAAAAACAAGCTTGCGCGACTATATGAAAGGTATGCTATTGTTGCCTGGAGCCATCCCCCGAATACATCAACGCGACTTGGTATGGTGGGTTCTGGTTGACTGACTCAATCACAGGTTCAAGGCCGAGATGTGGTCGAAGGTCGCAGAGGAAATGGCGATTCCATGGCGGGCAGCGGAAGCCATGCATTGGCAACTGGGAGAGCAGGAGATGGCTCGTCGTGCCGGAGTTGTTCCTTTCTCGCTGTCAAGCACTGCTATCGATCCACCTGCGCCCAGAGCACGCAGAGCCAGCACATCTTTGTCTCGGCCGAGGAAAGGATCGAGTTCGCGTTCGATACACCTTCCCCCGCAGCTTCCATCCGTTGAGGAACTCACTGCTGGAGTACCCGCATTTGCGCCGCCTCCGCCTTTTCTGCCACCCCGCGAAGCATATAGGATAAGCCGCCCTTTGGATCTGGGTGGTAGTCAAGGCGGCCCATTCGGCCCAAATCTCGGTCTTCCTCCTCGAACTCTTCCCTAGGCAGGCCGGGGGAACGGTGACGATAACTATGTCTATTGGTTTTCCCCCATTGCGTCGTTACGAATTGCATAGCGCTGGCTGGAGGTATTGGTCGTTTCAAGGGAGGTTTTATCATAGATGTTCATCTTCGATATGTGCATAGGTGGACTTCGCATTGCCAATGCATCAGAGTTGCATTGCAGTGCAGTTTTGATTTGGCAGGGGAAAAGAGCAATAAAAGGATTGTTCATCATGGGGAATGACCCTCGCTGGCTTCATCGCATGCCATGGCATGAGAATGTGATACGGCATCATCTTCGGGGTTGGACCTCAAAATAGTCCACTGCACCCTCTGCGCACATCCTATGATGACACGGGACCTGGCCGCATCGCAATTGCCCACCAATTATCCTTTTCATACCCCGAATCCAGAACATAGCCACCTGCGTCATTGATGTCCTGCTCTAGTTCCGAGGCTTGGTAGAGGTGATAGTATCGGTGGAACACTTGGGGCTTGCTGCCAGCAGACGCAGTCCCTTTCATGACCCAGGGAACCATTCTGTCCTGTTGATCGCCTTTGTCCCAACCACGACGACTATCTTTCTGCTCTAGAGCCCAGACATAGATGAGTGCTTTCCCGCCCGGCACAGTGTCGGAGGCAGGCTTTAGAGTCCGCAATATCTCACGGATAGCACCCACCCTTCGTTCTGGGGTAGACAAGTGATGAACCACTGCGATCGAAATGGCGAAATCAAAGGAAGAATCGGGATGTGGAAGGCTGAGGATGTCGGCAACTACGGTCGAATGTGGCTGGTGAGCTTGAGCAATGCGGACAAGGTTCTCAGACCTGGTATACGGCGGGTCAGTTTTGAGACCCAGCAGGATATGGATATTTATGATCATCTCTATTGAGATTTAGGATCATTCTTTGCAGGAGAGGCATGACTGGTATGATCATGGAAAGGTGAGGGGTCAGAAAGAGGGGCAAGCAGGAATTAGTCACAAGTAAATAAAGATAAACGTGATAACATACCGATCTGAAGCTACAATAAACACATCCTTATTTACACTCAGGTTCTTTCCATTGCCACACCCCACGTCTAAGCCAATTGACCCGGGCCTCAAGTCAGTAAGGAATTGTTTCACAATAGGCCAAGGCTGACATGGCCACGGTTAGTGACGAACATACAGTACATTGGGACGTGGGGATGAAAGAGGCCGAGGTAGTCAAGGGAAACAAGAAAATACCTTGTAGCGGGTGGATGAAAAATGATGTGCAATCTGTTGGTATACTTGATGCACATTCTCTTCTTCGTAAGCGTCTTCTTCTTCCTGGCTGGGGACAAGGGTATTGGAGGCCATCGTGGTCTTAGAGATAAAGGCACACAATATGGTGATGGTGGTATGAATAACACTTCTACATGAAGGCCACTCAACCAATGTGGTGTAATATGTTAAGAAGAAGGAATGGGAGAAAGTACCCGAGACGTTCGAGATGGCAAGCAGAACAAGAAATTTCCCGAGAAGACAGCTTCCAGGTCCCTCAGCATGTATCGTCATGATTGTCCAGTACCGTATAGTAAGTTATTCATTATTGCCTCATCTTAACTTACAGTAATGGAGCTGTTCTGAATAACTAGATAAGGCTAACCAAGTTAGTCAGATGATAGTGACTAATATTCACACACTTGTGTAAATATTCAACTAAGACATGACTGCCAGTACAGTAAGTACATGGTTAAAGACACAAGTTAGTAGTGAACTCCTTTCAGATCATGCAAACAGCATTGGCACAGCCAAGAAGCACCTACGAAGAATCCCGATCTTTGCTATTAGTAGGAATTATCCCTAACACTGGAACCCAGCTCTGAGCCTTGAACTAGCAGATTACTTGAAGTGTTGATCAAGCATGTGAGCATCAAGCTAACCAGAAATGGCTCACTTAATCTGTCTCTATCTCTTGCCCCCCTCAACATGCCCACCCACTTCAAAAGCATCTACACCGGTATATACGTACATGTCTATGTGCATGTCCTTGTATGACAGCACCATTTCATACCCACTGGGAGTAATAGGGCCAGACAGGGTACATTGCAATCTCATCTCTTCCCTTCCTTTCCCCCGTCTTCGGTCCCCGGGCACCAAAAAGGAATCAAAACCAACCTACCATAATATTCCTGTGGTCCCACATTTACTTCCTGTCATATTACTCGTTATCTAACTTACGGGCAGACTTGATCTATCGTCTAGTCCACGGACTCTGAGTACTATCCCACGGGGGAAAGGACAATACGGCTATTGCAGATATTTTGCCAAGCTGCGCAAACTAGCGGTCATGGCTTTCCAACCCACCCCTGCGGATATTTCTGTTGTCATCACTACGCCTGGCACAGGCTCCAGCGCTGAGCCACGCTTCTTGACGGAGCGCCGAGTCACTCCAACATGGACTGTCATGCAGCTGAAGACGAAGCTCGAGACCATGACTGGCGTTCCGCCCAGCTGCCAGCGTCTTCGCCTTAGGTCACCTGGGCGCCCAGATCAGTGGGTCGAAGATGACAATAGTATCATCGGTGATTGGGGGTTGATGAGAGGCTGCGAAATAGAGGTAAGATTTACTTCTTGCATCAAATTTGCAGGCTGATCTGGGCTTTCATGAGTACCACAGCCGTCCGCTATCCTCATTGCAAAGATCTCACCTGCTTCCCCTCCATACCTCCTTTCCCCTATCAATTGCACGCCGTTTGAGAACCAATGTGGGACGCCTCTGAGGGCACTCTGAACCGGCTGTGTACATAGTCGTTATCTTTGAATCGTCCATTGATGAGTGAATTTGTTACGAAGGTCCATGATTACCGCCCTCAGGCTTCGCGGCCTAATTTCACAGACCTCTCGTCCGTCGAGAAGTATGTATTGCCGACATCCACATACGAAGCGCTCTCGAATTCTGTTTTGGCGTGGAAAAAGAATCAGAAGCTTGGCCGCTTCGATCCCAATGCTGCAAGACCCGAAGAAGCGATGCGCAGCCAAGCTTTGAAAGACATTGGAGAGGTTGGACAAAGAGGTGAGCACAATGAGAACAACAAGAAAGAAAATCGTCCTCCCTTGCCAACTTCGAGATATAAAACAACAAATCACTGATCAAATGCGTTCGTGGTAGGCATTGTTGTTAACAATCGAGCCATTGTCCTTCCCTCCTCTCCGCCACATGTTCGACGCGGCACAATTCGCTATGTTGGGCCAGTTCCGACAATCCCCTTTCCTGGCGTGGACCTTGACCTAGTAGACTCCGCAGATTTTCCAGTCTGGGTAGGAATTGAGCTCGACGAGCCACTGGGCAAGAACGACGGGAGTGTTGGCGGAAAGAGATACTTTGTTTGCCCGAATAAGACGGGTGTCTTTGTCAAACCCGAGAAAGTGGAAGTAGGAGACTTCCCGCCCTTGGGTTTGGATGATTTGGAAGCCGAAATGGAGGAGATCTAACAAACAGTAATTTGACATGGCCACTACATGAAATTACAACCTTGCGCTAACCGATGCATAAGACTCCAATGAAGCTTGTAATCGCAGCTCAATTCTTCTGGACTCACACGCCCCAGCGCCAAAGAAATGGGAGATATGTGGTGACGAACTATATCCTTACATCCCGGCAATTAAGTGACATACTTGCTAATTCAAAAGCCAACACTCCGGTGGAAAGGCGAGCAAAGCATAGTGCGGATAGGCGAGGAGTTGAACGGAGCAATCCTCAACAGATGAAGTAGAATGGTCATAGCACGCAGGTGACTCATTTCGCCTTGCGCCCGGGCCCAATTTTCTGCTTGCCCCTGGGCCTACCTTTCCCAGTAGTCGTGGAGCGCCCTGTCGGTGTGCTCGAGTCAGCTTCCATGATACCGGCCTTTGTCGCAGAGCCAGGGGCAGAGTCGTCATTTTCAGGTAGACAGCCTTGCGTGAAGAACAATCGTGCATCCTTATTGTGCGTATTCGCAAAGCTGTAATAATTGCCTAAGAAGTGTGTCAGTTTCCGATGGAAGTTGGACGCAGTCTAAACGAAACCAACCTCTGGGGACCTGAAATACACAGCCTTTGCCCGCACTGAACCGTACCCCTGAGACATCTACCTGCACGCGTCCATTGCAAATGTAGAAGACCATATGCATTTTCTTAGAGTTTTTGGGTTTTTTGACTCCGCCAGGCGGCAACTCAACGATCCCGGAACCCATGAAGGGAGAACTGATGAGTTTAGCGAATCGCCACGACGAGTCTTTGACACTTTTGGTCTCCATTCCAGACGGGGCATATGCGAGATCTACGTGTAAAGTCAGTTAATGTTGAACCTGACAATACTCGGAAGAGTGCAGTGAACCCACCAACGATGTCCGACTCTGTTGCCGTCTGAGATTCCGAATCCCACATTCTGACATAACCATGCAGAATCCCACCTTTCTTTTCCCACGGGTCTAAATAAGCGGCATCCTCATCAGAGTCTTCAACTCTACTCTGTTTCGCTCGAGACTTTTTTGAAGGGCGGCGTTTGCCTGAGTGGGATTGTTCCGGCTCAAGCTCTTCTGTGCGAATGATCTCCTTAATGGTTGACAATGGAAATCTTTGACCTTCTATAGCCTCGCCGTCACCGTAAACACATCGCTCGTTTCTCCAGTAAGCAAGTGGCCTTACTGAGACGCGGCCCGATCGGGTGTGCGTAGCAGTGTCGTCTGACGGGGCTTCGCGCTTCAACACATACAAGCTCCGACCCCTCAACGGCCCCGTGCGATTAATATAGTTCTCCACCACTTTATCCAGCTCAGCGTCGCCAGATGAACTCGATCTTCGGCCAGTCTGAGCATTCACTCTAGGTTTCTTTATCGGTCTCTGCTCAATCATATCATGAGCTGCGCTGTGCTGAGACATGGGGGGCCTGCCAGGGCGCTTGCGCTTTTGTGTGGCATCTGCTTGTACTATATCAGAAACATCACTGGCGTCCTGATTGTGCAATTTCTGTCTTATGCCATCCACGTTTGCCATGAAGGAAGCCTTAGGTCGACCTTTCGTACGTGCTTTGGGAGCAAGAATGAATGGGGACTCGGGTCGTGCCTCGTCCAAATTCAAATCATCTATAGGGTCCTGCGTCAGGACGTCCTCGTCGGCATGAATGCTTTCCACTGCATCATGCTCCTGTCTAAGCACATCCGCATTTTCGTCGCCACTTGACTGAATGCTAGTATCACTATCAGAGTAGCCTTGGCTTATGAGCTGTTGGGCGACTATCTCAGTCTTCTTGCTAATGCGCGCGCTGTGCAGGTGGTTCATAGACGGTGTCGCATTCGCGGAACGATTGGTCAGAGGGGATATGTCACGCCATGATTCGCTCTTTGCGATTCCCAACCCCTTTCCATCGGAAGGACTGGAGGAGAGGTGATTGCGCTGTGGACTCTGCGACGACCGCAGACCGGGCGTTCGCCGTGGGGAGCCTGTGAGCCCAGTTTTCATAGGCGATCGTGCGACAGGGGGAGGTAAATAAGAGCCACGTCTGCTGTTTAAATAGTCTGCAGGGCCAGGGCTAGTTCCTACGTAGATAAGTTTCTCACTGTCAGCATGTATGATGTAGGTGTATCAAGAGTCTACAAACCCTCATCCATGGACATGCCATCTGAGCCGACTGAAGCTTCATTCCGAATGCCGAACCCATTGTCTCTCGTCGGGGAGCTTTCGGGGGAGGAGAATATGCCATCGACTTCTTCCATGCCGAATTCATCACGCCTTCCTTCCTTCAGGATTATGCCTGTGCGCCTGTACCGCTCGCTCGCATTAGCCAGTGAAGCAGAAGGCAAGTCATAGTGACAGCGGACGGAGTTGAGAAAGAGGCAATGGGAAGCAAGTTTATTTCCAAGGTGTATATCTACCTTCCGGCTTTTCCAACGTTGGCGTAATCGTAGTCACGAGCTTTCGAGGGCCCCCGGGGAGCCATCACTGCGGAGCTTCGGAGCTGTATGCGGCTAGAATAAGAACTGTGGCAGGATGGAAAGAATCCGCGTCGTTTGCTTCGGATATGTACTTCGTGGTTGAGATTTTCGCGGCACGGAACTCCTTAAGTACTTGAAATGGGGGAACTCAGTTTAAAAGAATACTGCACTCTCGAGCGCGACAAGTCGTCCAAGTCGAAATGGCACCGACTGCTACGGTGGGGAGTTTGGAATTCATGGAGGCGGCGGCGAAGGTGTGACACGCGCTAGTCCTGAACTGTTTGGGACGCGTCCCCATGTTGCCGGTTGATAGATATTCGGGCTTCCTAGGTAGGATACCACAGCAGCGCTTTCAATTTCATTCTCTTCACCCTTTCTTTCTTGCCTCGGCTAGTCAATCCTCTAACTTCACTGTGCTCTGGATGCTTGCCTATTTTTGTCTCAGTTAAGACCTGCGTCGCCTGTAATTGACTGACACCCCAGAACGCAGAAGATGGGGGAATCCATTCAAGATAATGTCTGCGAATTATCTCCAAAAGCTTCTTCAACTTCGGCTTTCACAGGCGACTTCATACCCCCCAGCATAGATCATACTAAGATGCTATCTGGTGACTCCTTTTCCTACTTTTCACCACGCCCACTCTTCCTCGCTTCATCCAACTCGACTACCGGGAATGAACCATCACAAGACGACTATCTCGTCCTCGGTGTGGACGAGGCGGGGCGCGGTCCTGTCCTAGGCCCGATGGTTTACAGTGCCTTCTATTTGCCGCAGCAGCTTCACCATTCCCTTCTTTCTCGAAAATACAGCTTCGATGATAGCAAGGTGCTTACGCCCGGGGTGCGCATGAACCTAATGAGAGTGTTGTGCACCCCTGGCAATCCGCTTTTTGAGTGTTGCGGATGGGCTACGAAGCTGCTATCAGCACGCGACATCTCATCAGGCATGATGCGACCAGGCGCTGGGTCTTACAATCTCAATGCTCAGGCAATGGATGCTACGGTTGAGATCATCCGAGGCATCATTGAGGAGAGAGGCATGAATGTGAGGGAGGTCTACATTGATACTATCGGAAATCCCGTGACATATCAACAAAAATTGGAGAAACTTTTCCCTTCCCTGAAGATAACAGTGGCTAAGAAGGCTGATTCCTTGTATCCCTGTGTCAGCGCCGCAAGTGTTGTAGCCAAAGTGACAAGGGACATTGCGTTGGAGCTAAGCCACAAAGAGGTCTCAAGAAGATGTGCTACTGAAGAGCCTTCTTTAAAGGCCACCATTCAAAGTTGGGGTAGCGGATATCCCTCAGACTCGAAATGTGTCGGCTGGCTTCGAAACAATATGGATCCTATCTTCGGGTGGGGACCCGAATGTCGTTTCAGCTGGGGAACTGCAAAGGAGATGTTGGAGTTGAAGGGAGGGTCGAAAGTCGACTGGCCGGCGGAGGAAGATTATTCACTGCTAAAGGACTTCCTCTTGACATCTGCCGGTGCCAACACCAAATTATACCATGAACTGCGAGAATGGTACGGGTCGAGGTCAACAGACATTCTATGACATAGCATACAATGCCTCGGATCAGTCGAGGATTATGACGATAATGACAAATTGAATACCCGTTTCACATACATCATAATAGCCCAAAAAGAGATAACGTCCACAAAGCGCTGACTGCAGACCTCAGATGTGGGGGGAAACCAGGTGAGATCGTGTCAGTAAAGGCAAGCGGATCACGACCAGTCAGTCACAGAGCCGTCTTAAATGAATCTCAGCCATGGCAATAAGTAGTACAAATTTGAATTGAGTTGCAAGTGCAACTAAAGGGACGAAAGATCACAACGTCGCACTTGAAAAATAGTAATTATCCCATAGGTATTCGTAGTCGTCAATGACGCTGCCTACCAAGTCAAGCAGGAGCTTGCCCTTCATCTTCCCAGTTAAATTGCGTAGCCAAGGTCTATAATCATTAGTGTTATTCCGCCGCTGCAAGGGTGGGTTCGGAGCACGCACCTGGTCAAGTTCGTATAGAAAGCCCCCCGCATGGCCCACCAACCCATCGCCCAGCCTCTTTTTCTGAGTTCCTCACGTTCAAGCCCAGTCAATCCTCGAAGGCCGCCGGCAACTCTCTCTCGAAAGTCAGACTTAGCAAGCTGTCGGCACACATATTCTAAGCCAAATCCAACCAACCAAGGTCTCCAGCTATGCCTGTCTTCGCTGTATTTTTGCAACGCTATCGCGTAGACCACTGGCCGGAGGATATATAGTACTTCAGCTAGTTGTCCGTGGCCAGTAACGCGATGCAATAGAGCCTTGGGGGCTTTGATGTCGTCGGCGGTGAGGACCTTGGATATCAGGAAATGGGAGACATCATTTACTTCTGGCAGCGACGGGAGAGATAAGCCCGTCCTAGGCATTGTCCAGCTCAAATCTGATGATCGTTCGCTAACGGGCGTTTGCATCCCATTCCAATCGCTGTCCACTTTGTCTAGCGATCTGGGATCAATGTCTCTCTCAGGCAGCGGAGGGGTTACCAATGGCCTGGACTTTGTAAGACGAAGAAGTAATAGACGACAGACCGCCTTTATGGCTTCAATGAAGATGACGACGCGCCAACGGATCTTCTCCCCACGTCGACGGGCAATCATCTCCCAGAGCAGTTCTGTGTACTGGACCATCTGTAATGCAAGTGCAACTTTATGATAGATCGAAGAGCGAGACGTCCAATATTTAGTATATCGCGTGTGAGGAGTCGGTATCGGCCGCGGGATAGTCGGCGGTAATCTGGAAACAACTCGAGAAACAAGAGCATTGTGATAAAGGGACAGTAGCTGGACTCCCGAATGTACTGTGCAATTCACACAAAGTTAGGCGATCAGACAGAATTTGCAGACTGGCACTACTAATGCTGGGGCAACATACCACACTCCGAACTTATTTCCGAGTCTCGGTATCGCCCTAGAAGACATTAGCTTTTCTCCTCCCCGGAGACTGTAACTGAACAGGCCAGTGGTCCTAACCTGGAATGATATATGTTAGGGATCTCAGCGCCGACTCTACCTGGCTTACAGAGCTAGCGTTCTTGGTTACAAATTCTTCGTACAACAGCAACCATCTTGATGGTCGTAGCAGGGCAGCAGAGGCGGCAGTCTCAGTATTGCATGTAGCGTCCATCTCCACGAAAGGGGGGAATCAATAGTACGAATGGTGTCGCTAAATATTCAGAGCGGCGAGCGGAAGCAGTTCGTTTTTAGGTGTAGTCAGGCTCAGCTGGAGAGCTATGCTCACAGGAAGAAATCAGGTTCATCCGCGGAGGGCAGTGGGCAATCCCCGGGAGATGAGGCACGTGTGCCGCGTCTGCCAAGGGATCATACATTGAACACCGCCCTGCCTGCCGAGGTTCAGCTGAATCCGGGGATTCTTGGCACGGTGTCGCATTATGGCCTTTGCACAGTGTCTGGCAGAAAAACTAACTTAATTTAACACCGATGACTAAGATACTAGATTTGATAACTTATGTACGTATATGGACTGACTATGGAGGCTCCCCAATGATCATGTACCACACCTGCTCACTCATCCGCAAATTTCCAGAGACCTCCCGGCCGCGTTGCTTCTCTATACCTGTCCTTCACCAGGTCTTTCTCGAGTCTCTTGGCTTCCTGGTGGTCGCGTTCCAATTCTTGCGTGCTAGGCATATCAGTACGCCAAAACCCGGGCGGGGACCCGGCACGTTGATGCTGTCGCTTGTGTTTCCCAAATTCACTGGCTATCAGCCTCGCCTTTGCTTCTTGCAAGAGATGATTCCGATCCTCTACACTCAACTCACTGATCAGATGTTCTTTGTCGCCAAGAAACTCTTCAAGAATTTTCTGGTCATTCATTTCGTGCTGCTGACTGGAGCACATTGCATCTGCTGGAAGGCCATTCATTCGTGCCAAACCTAGAAATTTCTTCCCACAGCAATCGTAACGGGTGCATCCCTTGGCGCAATTCACTTCATTCTTCTTGTGAACCACGCTGTGAAAAGCATAGTCATAACCTTGATTAAAGTCCGGGTTGATTTTGAAGTCTTTGAGGTCAAGATGTTGAATCGGCCGTGCTCTTAGAGAACCTCCTGCGGGGTGAACTGCAGTGTCTCTTGCAGGCAACAGGGAGTCATTGACGAATGCGGTTCTCGAAGCTCCATTGTTTGGGGCTATTTGCGGCATTTCTGTTATTTCAAACCCATCGGAAAAGGAAGTTACTGTGGGTATTTCTTCCATCATTGCGAAAGGACGCTTGGGAGCCCTGTCTGAAACGCCCGAGTCCCTTAGCAGTGTTTGCAACTCCAATTTAGCAGGTGACTGCCCCTCGAGCAGACCCTGTAGACGCTGATTAGTGGTAGCTTCGCTGGCAACACCTAGGGTGAGACCTGAAGCTCCTGCCCCAGATGTTCTGTGCAATTTCCTTGAAGGTAGACTTAAGAAGCTCTCATCGCCATCTTCTATGAATGAAGATATGTGGGTACTTGCGGGTCGCGTTTGAGGTTCTTCTTGAGGTCGTCCTGGCGATCGAGCACGTCTTCTACCTCCAGGGTTGGCATTGCTAAATTCCCGCACAACAGGTTGTTTTGGCGAGGAGAAAGATAGTGGCGGAGGTGGATCTGCGTTTTGACTATCTTCACTAATTGCTGGGGTATTTGTTCTCGAGGCATCGCCTTGTACTTCACTATTTCGCACTTTCCTCCTCTTTCTGGGGGTTTCGACAGTGCTACCAACTTCGTCTAGATCTTGGGTGCCAACAATTCTTATCGCGGATGATAGTTTGGGCAACGGTTCTTGAGACAGATCTTCATCTTTGACTAAAGTAGAATTCAATGCCGGTGTTCTTTCACCTGTGGTCAAGGTTGAACACCGGTTCATAAAAGCCTTCGGGGCATTTTGCGATATTATGGACTCGGACTCTGGTGCTTTCATCCCCGACGTAGAAACCTGAGCAGTTGGAATAACGTTCTCAATTTCGGACCGACCCGACTGTGTTAGTGTTGGCTGCGCTGGTGACATTCGAATCGAACCGTTGCATCTGCTCCAGTTTCTGTTCTTTGCGCCCCAATGACCTGCATCACTATTATCAGGATGGTTCCTTCTCAAGACCTCTGGTGGGGAGGTCAAGGTTTCATCCTCAATGCCATGATCATTTAAGCCCGATACGAGAACAGAAGTGGCTGGGTTTGCGGCCGGCGGCTTGCTCTGGGTATCAATAGAGATCTTTCCAGTGCATCTGAACTCAATTGCTGTGCCTTCGAGCACCAAAGTGAATTTATCAAGCTCGAGACACTTTTGCCAGAACTTTAACTTTCCCTTGTATCGTTTGACTTGTTTTCTGAGCTCACACGAGGCCATAACAAGCTCCTGAGCCTCCCCATATAGAGCCGTATATGCTTCAGCAACGGCTTTGATCGCGTACGGGTTGATATCTGCGATGTCACCGGAGGCATGGCTGAAATGATGTAAGACCTGGTTTGGGGCATATCTTGCTTCAAAGTCCCGAAACCTCTTCGTAGAAACCTTGTCGTCTTCGGACTCAAAGTCGGTAAGGCGTAGCTCTTCACGTAGGAGAGCGATGGCATTTTTCAGCGAGTCCAACTCTTCCATAGCCTTATTCCGTTCTTTCTCAGCATTCGTGGCCCTCTGTTCAGCTGATTGTGTATTCGCATCGTGGTAGGAGCTCTCGGCTTTTACATTTCTGATAGCCTCATCGAAGCTGTTCTCTAGTGCTCGAGTGAGAGAAGATCGAAGCGTCCTAATAGCCTCCATCACAAGGACATCATCAATCTGCGAATGAAGGGTCACATGAATGGTGAAATTCTCTGATTTATGTACTATGAATAACAATATGACTGGAATAAGCAAGTCAGTTAGTTAACGTGTTTGATTTAAAGGGACATAGGGGTTGGATTTACAGTGCCAAATATCTGCCAAGCAATTTAAGATATGCCTCCGTGATGTTTTATGATCTCTCCTGGTCGCATAAGCTCGACCTTAGTAAGCGCTGATCTCATGTAAGTTACTAACTAATCTGTTCAGCCAGCTGCCTGCGGCACATATGAGGTAGTAACTTACGAGTAGTTAATTAACTAGCTACCCTAACCATGTCCATTTGAAAGGCGTACAGCATGACGCTTTGGCAATCATGAAATAATTTGTCGATTCCTGCGTTGTTGTATCTCATCTTTCGCCCCGAGTAATTTGCTTGCTTTGTGGCTATTACTGGTTAAATGTCTAAACGACATTACGAAGGTGGAAACCCAGCACCCCTTCCCTCGAAACGTGGGCGCCAACCCAATATAATCTCTTCTCTCTCCGATGAAATACTACTCCACATATTATCCTTCTTACCAATCCCGTCTTTGATAGTCTGTCAACGGTACGTTCTAGTCTTGTTCAACTCGTCTCTGTCAAGACTTTAGCTGATGAAAATTTATGATGAAGGTTGTCATGCCGGTTCAAGGCGCTTGCAGAAGACTCAGAAATTTGGAAGCGACATTATTATCACCGATGGATTCGACCTCGATTAGCAAACTTGAGGCGTACCGTAGTCTCCCATCCAGAGGTCAGATATTCTCCTAAGGTGTCAACATGGCTGGATCATGGTCACTTGGCAGATGAAGGAAGGGCTATGGATTGGAAGGGCCAATACCGTCTGAGACACAATTGGTCTAAAGGAATCTGTCGTGTCACCGAAGTCGAGTTCTCTCACCCATATGGTCGATCAGCGTTGGTCGCTTTTTGTGCTGGTATTATTTTCACTGTCGACCGGGACAACTGGCTTCGAGCTAAGTCTACCAAGATGCCCGCGTACTACCTCGCAGAGATCTCCTTGGCAAAACTTCGAACGCCTCTAGCTGCCTTGCCCACAGCGATGGCGGCAATGGTTGGTTCTCACCCGAATACAATCGAGGTTGTTCTTGGATTTGAAGACGGTCACTTCGGAATATATAACCTGGACATTGCTGCATCAGCACTGAAATTCCGCACCACTTGCGCTGGATCGACGAGCGGCAGCATTACTACAATAGCCTCGCTTTACCCCTGCATCCTCTTGGCATCCGATCATAAAGTTCTGTCACTTTTCAAAATCACGACTGATTCCGATGCGCGTAGCCGTTTGCTGCCCAAGGAACCGGCTTTATTATCATGTCTCGAGGCAGACAGCATCTTAGAGCCGCTGTCAATCTCGATTCGTTCGGTAGGCTCTGATATTGTATCTTCCATAGTGTACAGCTTTTACCATGTCGGCTGCGGTTGGTCTTTGGGGATTCAAGAATTACATTTCAGCCTGAGTGATTTACAGCAGAAGTGCTCGCGGCTCACAACAACCGTGGATTCTCAGTATGGAGTTTGTCCGCCACTTGGTCAGATTTACTCGAGGATCGACACGCCGTGCGCGTGGGGTGCAACAAATACCAAGGGCGGGTTGTGCATGAGGCCGGCTGAACCCGCTATACATCATCAGGAAACCCCGACTTCCGTCTCTTATTCGCACCCTTATTTGATAACGGCCCACACGGACAATACTCTAACCGTGTATCTTGTTGTCTCCACGTCCGCGGGCTTGTATGTCAAAGGTGCACAGCGGCTCTGGGGTCATACATCCTCAGTATCGGCCGTGCAAGTGAGTGATCGTGGCAGGGCGGTATCGGTAAGCTCCCGGGGAGATGAGGTAAGAGTGTGGGAACTTGAAGCCCTAGTCTCAGCTTTCGGGAGGCAACAAGCGCGGAGACATGGAAAAAGTATTCGAGTTAGTCCTGGAAATAGGCAGGGTGATATCAGTGAACTCAGGTCGAGTTCTCCGACAAAAACTAATGCTCTGCTACAAACCACAGGATTTCCGCACCGCATGCCTGAAATAAGTGGTTGTATTGGGTTTGATGATCAATGTGTCCTCCTACTGCGTGGGAATGGACTTGACGTGCACATGCTGGAATGTTATGACTTCACATGAGTGGGCCAAGGTCGAGTATTCTATGTATAGAGAGGTTTCCAGCCAGTGGGATTCCAGTCAAGGAGACTTGTGCTTCAATACTCAGGTCCAAGGCAGGCTTCATGTATAGTAGGTGAAATTGTCATGTAACATTCACTTAGGTGGTCTTCATTTATAATGAGGTGGGCTTCAAGGGGACCTTGGGAGGTATGCCTTTTTGTAGTTTTGATATATAACATAGCAGAGGCCCTGCGTCCGGCTCACCCTTCGGCTCGCCCTCCTGTCTTAGTCCTTCGTTCGCTGAATGAAGCGAGGCTACGATTGATTGAAAAGCCCAGGCGCCTCTTGGTAACAACACGCTTTCCTTATGAGTAGGCAGAGATTCCTCGGTGCTGCCAACTGACCCCAGCCTCATCAGGATGGCCTCGCTAGAGAAGCCTGAGAGTCAAAGTGGTCAATCCATAGAAAGGAGTCGTGTGGCGCTGAGAATATGGTGGAGGAGAGAGATGGGAGTGGGGGATTGTTTTGATCTATGAGTGAGGCCCTCCCCATTTTTGACACACTGATTATAAATCCTCTTTCTCCTGCTATTACCACCACATGCCCTTCTGTATTTGTTGTACTGAATTACACCGCAATTGCAAGTGAAGTGCGAGCAGAGAGAAAAAGAGGCTATTTGTCAAGTGTCCTCGTTCCTTGGCGTTGTGTGCGGCACTGCGGCGGTTCTTAGTGTTAAAGCCCTGCAGGTTCCCCCGCACCGATTTAGCATATCTCTGTTTTATGGTCTGCATTAATTAGGGTGACTCCTCTCTTCCTGCTCATTATTACCACTAAATTTCTGATCGCCGAGACTTTCCCCTCAACCTCCATCCATCCTCACAAAAAAAATTCCCAAAATCACCGCCCTTCTTCCCCTCTTTCGTTACCTCAACCCCTTTCAAACCAGCTATCTTCCTCCACAAGACAATATGAGTTTCCAAGCTGGAGGTCGTGGATGCTTCAACTGTAAGTCTACTTCTTGAAACAAACAAAACTTTATTCGAGGGCGCGATTCTGGCTAGCAGTTCTCTTGGCCTCTACAGAGTCCTAGAGTCCTGAAGCTCAAGCCAGAAAGTAGCTTGTTCCCTGGCTTCCAAGTCATATTTGCATCCAGAATCTGAAGTCTTCCCTGGTCGCACAAGTCTCTTCTCTTGTTTCTAGCCCCATTGGAATCGAGTACATATTGCAATCTCTTTTTCTCGGGACGCTTGAGGCGCGGATCTGGCCTCAGCAACTTGCACAAAGCTCCTCCAGAGAGTGAACAAATCATTTTACCATGCACACCTGGATATTATAGACACTAATCTTTTTTTAATTTTCTGCAATTTAGGCGGCGATGCCTCGCATCAGGTAAACATCGCCTACTCCCAGAACAAGTTGGCGGAGAGCATCATAGCTCGTCCTGTCGGCCTGTGCCGTGGCATTGTCGTTGAAGGAGTCTGACTATTCTTAGGCCCGCGATTGCCCCAAGAAGGGTACCCCTACTTGGTGAGGATTATCACGTTCCTGGCTGAAACAAAATCACTTACTAATACTCTACAGCTACAACTGTGGTGGTCAGTTTTCCCACAGACCCTTTCGCATTCACTTCCCCTTCTCGTTATCTTGACTATTGGCCACTGGCCTTTGGAAGCTACCCAGTTGTTGAGCGGTCAAATTGGTCTGACTTGTTGATTTTCCGATCTCAGGTCAGGGACACGTCAGTAAGTTGTTCACTAATGCTGTATACTTCGATCCTGGCCGACCCAGCTGACATATCGCAGGTCGTGAATGTACGGTAGCCCCGAAGGAGAAGTCATGCTATCGTTGTGGAGCCACTGGTCACATTTCCCGCGAATGTCCTCAGGCTGGCTCGGGCGAGAGCTACGGCGCTGCTGGTGGTAGTCAGGAGTGCTACAAGTGTGGTCGGGTCGGCCATATCGCGAGAAACTGTCCCCAGGGTGGTAGCTATGGCGGTGGCTTCGGCGGCCGTCAGCAGACTTGCTACTCTTGTGGTGGCTTCGGCCACATGGCTCGCGACTGCACTAACGGCCAGAAGTGCTACAACTGTGAGTATGATCCCGCTCAGTCAACCTCAGCTTGGAAACTGACAATCACATAGGCGGTGAAGTTGGACACGTTTCCCGCGATTGCCCCACCGAAGCCAAGGGTGAACGCGTGTGTTACAACTGCAAGCAACCTGGACACGTTCAGGCTGCCTGCCCTAACTAGTTTGAATGCACTCTGGACTGTTTGTCTTCTGTCACGATGTCTCGCATGGGACCAGACACGGGAATATGCACCTCGATCGCACTTTCATTGACGATCTGCAATTCATTTCTCCCGCTTTATCCTGAAGCCAATCTCTGACATGGCATACGAGCCAGGCTTTGAATACCTCTATCAACCATATCTGGTCTGTTCGATATCCGAAAGATATCCATTCCGCCATGGAGTTGTATGAACGATCTGCTGTCTTACTTGAAGGCAGTAAGGTCAGATTGAGGACTGATAGGTGCATTGTGTTGCGGGTGGACAAATAGATGAAATCACTTGTGTGCTGCGGAAGACTTTTGTCCACGATAATGGAATTATCTTAACAGCAATCTACATCGATTCCACAGAACTTTTCCCTATCTTGGACCTCCTTGCTGACATATTCGATCTTCCTACTTCCTTATATTCACCACTTGGCAACTCGAGGTGTACCCTTCCTTTATAGTGTCATTGTCGAATTGTTTCAACATTGCGTACTTTCACTACTGCTATCTAGAAGGCGGTACGGACTCTCGCTTTGAGGTAGTATCTTAGGCTCGAAGGAAACTGAACGAGCAGAGCACCTACAACATATCCAAAAAAAATGTTACCATTGTATAAATAGAATATCAATTATTCGCAAGGGACAAAAACTCTCTTTCATGAGCTACAGCTGCACATCATCGCTCTTTTGAATTTCGGAACATCACCGCAGAACCGCCGTTCCTCCTCTCTATCTAGACCCCAATCTTCGGCAAAAGGCTTCAGCGCCATTTGCATCACTCGCCCAAGTATATCTCGGTCCCCCTTGTGCTCCACGCGGTCAATGACCTCGTCAAGTATCCAGCCACGTGGTAGGAACTATGTGATACTCAAGTCAGCGGACAAGCACAAAATTCCAAATATCTCGATCCTCACTCCCGAGAGAAACATACGCTTGGATTTACCGATTTCATTGACGTTTGCCTCGCTACATCATTGTTCGTGTCCCAGTCTTCCAAGACGCGAGTTCTCCATATCTCAAGCCAGTGCGCAATGCGTTCTTTAGCTGCTGCTTCTGTTAAGCTGACACTTTCGAAACCCTCATTATGGAAAAATATTGACGCCATTTCCGATCTTTGAGCTGTTGTCTCGATATCTGAAAGTGAAATGTTCGAAAGTCTCCTGAAAAAATGGTTAAAATCCAACTCCAATGCTTCCATCATGTCAAGCATTTCAGAAAACAGATCTTGGAAGTCTGTCTCTTTCTCCGTTTGAAGGCCCAACCTCCCTCTCATAAGTTGCTTGTATTCACTCAGGAATACAGCCCTGAATTCCTTGCCTGTTTGTTCAATGAGTTTTTCGGCACGTTCGACTACGGCCGGTGCAGAGGTCTCAGTCAGTCCTTCTTTCACAAATTCTTCATGATCCACTAGGTCTCCTGCCCCCATGAGTTCTCCGAGGGATTCACCAAGTCTGACCAGATTCCACCAGATGATACTAGGCTGATTCTTATAAGAATATCTCAGTAGGTGGTCATCATGGTTGGGCGTGTAGTGGGGATCAAAGTTATCCATAAATGCAAAAGGGCCAAAATCCATCGACAAGCCGCAAATCGAGGTGTTGTCCGTATTCAGAACACCGTTCATGAAGCCATAGGCTTGCCAGGCAGCAACAGTCTTGGCGTTGCGGCGTGCAATCTCTCGATAAAGCCTTGTGAACCTGTTTTCTTGCAAATCTTGATTTTCCTCCACTTCGTTTTTTGAAGTATTCTTGGAGGTGCTATCCATGGCAGGCGACGATTGACCATTGTTTGAGTACGCAACAGAAGGGAGAGTCTCCCATCCATGGAAAACTTCTTCGGCGACATATGTCGCCAGCTTTCGAATCAGGTCGCGGTCTCCACGTGCACGCAATAGATCAAAAGTGCCAATACGGAGCCAAGATTCTGCAAATCGAGTTACAACAGCTCCCGGTTCAATGCGCTCCCGCAACACTTTCGATCGCGGCAATAAAGTGATGGCTAAGGCCCGGGTCGTTGGAATACCGAGTGCCGAAAGAGCTTAAGGAGCAATTAGTTTCTGCCAGTATAGCATTTCTTCGGGGGACCACCTTCAGAGACAATGTATTCTCGGATGCTCGACCGGAGCACAGCTTTGCCATCGGCGAAGCGTGAGTAGGGCGTCCGTCCAGCTCCTTTCAACTGCAGCTCATAACGCATGTTCGTGTATGGATTAGTGCTCTCAAAGAGGCTTATAGCGCGCTGCTCAGTGTCAATTCAATACATATATTGGATTCAATTGCAGCCAGGTGCCACGCACACCGTCCCCTAGTTGACCAGCCCATGAGCCACTACATTTGTCAGTAGGATGCATGGGGCTACCAATCCACGAATCCTGTAACGTACAATTGCCACCCTTCAGAATGTTAGTCAGTTGCCTTCCATGATTGGTACATGTGAAAATCAGTGTGAGTGTAGCATGACTTACCTCCATAGCATTGTGCCCAAGGATATATTCCACCCTTAGATTGGTCCCATGGAAATTCATTTCCGGAAACCAGGGCATGGAATTCTTGTGTCATTGCTTCACTAGCTGCGAGTCCAAGATCGTCCAAGGCTTTCGGGCTTACCCCCAGAATCTCATACTCCTCTGCTGGCTCGGGCCTCACAAACGTGTAAAGCGCACCTCTTACTAAGCGCGGTCCCAGAGCCTCACGAGGAGCTCGATGCGATATTTCCGGTGTTTCAAACGCAGGATCGGCAGGAAGCTTGGATGTGAAGACACAGGACTTGGAAAGCTCGCGCAGCGAAAGCCCTTCGCCGGATTGCTGGAATGATGAAGCCATGTGGTGAAAACGCCTAGTAGGCATCCACAACCCTGTAGGCACTCTGCGGAAGAATGCTAACTTATGGTTAGGATATGCAAGGCGAGCATTGATGGTGACCATGAGAGTTGTGGTGCGGACTGCTCATCAAAAGTGAGCCGATACGAGCTTCTATATTGTGTCTCATTCGGAAACTTGGTATGGGTAATGATGAGATCTTGTAATGTATGCGGAGTAACTTAGCGCCTCTCCGCTAAGGTTCGGAAACTTGACCGCATATCTAAGGATGACGTCAAACCTTCAGACTCCTCAAATATGAGTAGTTATACATTGATTCACTTTTACAAGTCACAGCTCTGGATTGATAGCATACGTATGCCCAATGTCGTCCACAGCCCGGAACTTTCCATTTGTCAGATTGAGTGATGGGATAAACATTCCACTGGTAAGTTGCTCCATGCCCTTCTCTCCGTCGCGTGTCTCGACGCCTCTTTTTACCGGCGGTGTCTTCCGGCTCATAAATACTAATGATCATAACAGCTTGGGTACGGCTGTGGGACTGCCTGGTATAAGAAGGCAACGGATGAGAGTATAGATCGCGAACTTGTCGATTCCATAAAAACGGCTATCCGATTGGGATACCGTCACCTTGATGGGGCTGAGATCTATGGAACGGAGCCTGAAATGGGTCTTGCCATTAAAGAAAGTGGCATTAATCGGGAAGACCCATTTGTGACGACGAAGGTGAATACCAACATCGCTGACATCCCGGGGGCCATCGATCTGAGTCTTCGGAAGCTCCAACTCAGCTACGTCGATTTGTAAGTATACCGTACCTAGATCTCCGGCATCCGTTGCATTAAAACTCGTGAAGTACTTATGGGCGAGATGAAGATATTTGATCCATTCGCCGTTCTTTGCCGAGTCCGATGGTGATCTCCAGACAGCTTGGGCTGCCATGGAACGGGTTAAGGCCGCTGGCAAAGCCCGGTCCATAGGAGTTTCCAATTTTCTCCAGGAGCACCTTGAAGCCATCTTGGGTACAGCCACAACGCCTCCGTCAATCAACCAGGTCGAGTTCCATCCTTACCTTCAACATGGTAGTTTGCTAGAATTTCATCGAGAGAGAGGAATTACAACCGCTAGCTATGGTCCCTTGACTCCGATCAATCGCGCCAGAGGCGGTCCCCTTGATCAGATGTTGTCCGGTCTGGCCAAAAAGTATGCGGTCACTGAGGGAGAGATATTGTTGAGATGGGTTATGGATTGTGGTTCCGTGGCGATTACGACCAGTAGTAGAGAATCCCGCCTGAGTAGCTACCTGCGTGCACTTGCCTTCGAGTTAACACCCAAGGAAGTTAACGAAGTGTCCAGTCTAGGCCAGCAGGCGCATTTTCGAGCGTTCTGGCGGAATAAATTCGCCCCTTCCGACCGTTCATAGTGGTATTTATGCATTTGTACAGTGTGTACGAGGTCGAACGGTAACCTCTCACCAATGAATCTGATTTCAGCTGGCCTGTACGGAGTATCCTTGCCAAGGAACTCCACAAACATCTACATAAGTTAATGTCTGCGTTGAGAGTTCGGACAGCAAGAAAAGATCATGGGAAAAGCGAAGGTTTCAAGAAGGCACAACAAGGAATTGATGGCAAACAAGAAGTCAATATCCTAAAGATTCTTGTGAATTAGAGCCGAGAACTGATCCATGTACTGGTAGTTATACGGAGTACGGAGAGTACTGCACCATACTCCCTCCGCGCGCCCATCAAGTTACTGCCAAGCGGCTCCGCTTAGAAACCGGCCGGAGCATTGACCTAACCTATTACTGAACAACAAACTCCGTTCGGCTCATCTTCGACATTGACCCTCTACTCCCCTTTCGCTGTGAGCCTAGGGACATCGCTTATTTTAATTCTTGGGCTTGGGGTTTCTTTTCTATCCTTATGGCCAGAAACTACAGCCATAGGTTCGGCATTGGCTTGGGCGCTCGATAGTGCAGCATATTAGGTATCGGCTTCTGGTCGGCAACCCACCTCGTGCCCAGGGCGGCCGAAACTCCTGAAGATTCATCTGCATAGAGGAAGTATCACTACTGTGGACCGCAGGGTCTGTGACTGAATATTGTTGAACAGGCTCTGCCACGGTAGCTGGCTATGCGCGGCTGAAGGGAACGCCGGGATTTCGAAGGAGACCCAAGGATCAGATCAAGGCGTGGGGCACTATATAGATCGATCACGAACTGATGAGAAGCTAACCGGAATCACGACACCAGACCGAATGCGATACCGCTGCTTGGATGTTCAACTTCATCGGAATCCAGATCGCAAATAACACATGCAAACGCACAGTCATCTTAGAGAAGCCAGCAAAGAAGGGTATTGGAGCTAGGAAGCTCAAGTGTGGGTGGAGACCTTCTTACAAGGAATTGCATGCCTGCTTTAGCTGCTGTCAATCTCCCACACATCCATTTGACGGACTGCCATGTCGGGAGAGCATTTTCGTCGCCCCGCGAACGCCGAATCGAGAGGAACCAAGAAAGCGAGCGAACACAAATACAATCTAGATCAAGACTCCATTGATCGGCGATTGAAGCGACTTAAAGATCAAGTCCTTCCACTTTACCCCTTCCTCCTTACTGTCCCGACTGATGTGCCTTTCCGTCTTGGAGGGCGCTTTGTCAACAACTGGGCGGTGAGTGATGACGGCCCTTTCACGCCAGAGGAACAGCAACTCCAATACATGACTTTTTTGACTCATCACGACGAAGAATCCTTGTTAGCCGCTGTGGGCGATTGGTCTGACAGTGCAGGAAACGTGATGTCCGATCAGCAATCCGGGCCTCAGAGTGCAGCTAGCACACCTTCTTATAGTTCCCTGAAGAAGAAAATAAGCCTAAATGACTACAAAAACAGGAGAAAGTCAGGCGCCCCTTCTGGCTCCTCTGTCAATCAAGAAGCCCCTTCCCAATCATCGACCGCTCAAACGCTCAATGGAAGCCACTCAACCAACAAAGCCAGTGGTTTCGTTGACGATATACAGGGATCGGTAGACAGGGCGGCTCCAGGCAACGTGCAATCCTCGTCTGGTGACAAGAATATGGATCGCAAACATCCGTTTGAAGCCGATAATGAGCCAATGAAATCAACTGGGAAGGGCCATGTCTCCTTTAAAAAAACCAAATTGTCTACTGATCCTACAGTAGAATCCACCAAAGTGGGACGACTGCGGAGCAATGGACTTCCTGCTCTCCTATCACCGACTTTGCCCCCAGTCTCAAGCAGCCCAAGACTGCCTCGACTTCTATCTCCAACACTTCCACCGGATCTGGAGAAAGAGTTGTCGATGCAAAATGTGGATTCTGTGTCTTTAGACTCCTTGCAGCGCCCAGATGTGTCAAATATCGATGCTTCGAATTTGCAAAAAGCCAAACCTGCTGTTCGTGGCTCTACCTACATGAACTTGTCACCCATTTCCAGCCGGCAAAACAAAACATTGAACCCTGGTTCCATTAGAAGATCGAGCGTCCTTCAAGAACCTTCGGACGTTGGTTCATCTAGAACTACTACAAAAGTTGGCTCTCAACACCTACCCAAGGACGCTGTAATGAATTCAGTGGATACACGAACGAGTTACCACTCAAGTCATGCCAGAACGAAGTTTATCGTCAGATTAAGGTATGGCAGAGCGAACAGGAAGCGGGTTGAAGCCCTTCTAAAGTTCTCCGGTAAGAGGAAGATAGGTACATCAAGCTCACCCGTAAGAAGTGTTGATATTTCTCACGCTACAATATCTGGACAAGCTGTAGCGAAGGCTACAGCATCTGAGCGTGCAGAGAACGGCAGCAAGTTATCTCGCAACGATTTCAAAGCCAAAAATGACACGGCAAATATGTCTTCGAAGGAATGCTCGAAAGAGTCAAAACCCCCTGTCATTGTTGATCAGTCCCAGTCCCCCAAAATTCCGAGCCCGCATACCAAACATCTCCTGCAGGATAGGTCAAAACAGATGCAGTCAACGTCAGGCAAAAGTATCAGCTGTTCTGGTCAACATGAAGTGCCTGGAGGTACTGGCGAGAGAAAGCTCGTGCAGTCCGGTGTGAAACATACAGCAGAGTGGCCGACGCCTACCAAACCACCATCTCCTCAAACAGGCAGCGCTGCATCTCGGCAATGTGAGCGTCGGGCGTGGAAGGAGCAATACCAGAAATATGGGAACCTTGGCCGAGAACTGAAGCATGCCGCGGAACGTCATACAGCTAAAGATAACGCGACTGTTGTCGATGAAAAACTCGCGGTTGCCACGGCTGTGGAAGCTATCATATGCTTCATCCTGGCTTTTGTCGCAGATGACCACCTCAAGGCTCTAAGTCGCCAAGTGGCCGATTCTTCTTCATGGCTGTCCATTCTTGCCTATTGGCGCGTGGTGAAGAAAAATAGTGCACCCTATCCCCGATTGCACAGCCTTTGTCTTATGCTTGGTGCTGTCTCGTATGATGCAATCCATGCACTTGATTTGGAAAGACTTGCAGTTACAGCTGTACCTGAGGAGCAAACTGCTATTTCTACATTGGGCAGCGACGGGACAGCGGTTGCACTGGACGAGTATAGGAAAGCCCGAAGGGAATTCAACGAGCTGAAGCATCGACTTCCTGAGTGTTACCGAGAGTCTCAAAAGTTATGGCTGGAGGGCTCACGCGGTCTTTCTGAGAACGTCCTTGCTAGTGAATTTCCTGTCACATGGTCCAATCGGTCAAAGAATTTCTCGGAGCAGGGAAAGCAACTTTCAAAAGCTGGTGACTTATCCATTGAGTACTTTCTTCCGTTGAGAAAAACCAGTACACCTTCTGAGATTATCAAATTCAGTTGCGCAATCCTGAAAGAGTGGTGCACGAAGGAAGGCATTGGGTGGAGCAGTAGGCTTGATGTTTAGCTCAGCTGGATTTTAATTGCTCGATATCCCATTTGCATCTTCCACCTTGGCTTTTGAGCGCTCTGAGGTGGTCTGCAGGACACTGCTTGCTGCCAATTCTTTTTTTATGATACCAACCTACCTTGTCATGTGTCCGAGTTGCGCCTCTTTGCCCTTTTCTAAATCATGATCTACTCCCAACAATTGTGACTGTGCTTTACCTTGGCATCCCCGCATCTAGTGCACACGTAGTTTAAGAGAGCGATTCAACCCTTGTAGAATAGATACCATAAGAACTACCGTGACTTGTCTTGTCATCTTCGTTGAACCGCTTTCAGCTGTGGTTCACTCCTAGCCCTATGTTTTGAGATTACTATTGGTACGGTACGTGATGTTTAGTATAAATTACTGAAGATAATACAATGAAATTGCAAATCTATGGGATGAATTTGAGAGAGAAAACTAATAAGCAGCAGGACAGTGCACGGGAAATGGAGATAGCAGAATCATATGACTGTAACAAGATTGCACAATACGATATAAAACAAACACAAAGTACCAGGTAAGTCGGTTTATGGAAATCACTTATCTGCGATTGTCTAAGATGACCGAGGTACCACGAGGAAGGACATGTTGGTATCATATGTACCACATGATCATCGCATATAACTGTTTTTGATGGACCTGTGCCCCGCACGCAGAATTGTATGAGGTCAGTGGGTCATGGTTCGCTAGAAACTGTATAGCTGACCGAGGGAGCAGGTTCTTGGCCAAAGAGCCAGCCAGCTTCCCGACAATATCTGGCCTCCCGTCCATAGGTACCAACTTCACTGCTCCAGCAGATGATAGACGCATCGACAATATCAGCAATGACACTCTCGGCGGCTCCCAAGATACTCCAGCCAATCGCTCCAGCGATCAACCCTATCATGTAGGCATAGAGACTCCCATGAATCGCGCCATTTTCACTGGGCACGCGGAAGTTCCGCGCAGTACTAACCCAGCCTCCGAAACCAAGAGCCAGTGACATCATAAGGCGAGCAGCATGAAGGATAAGTTTAGATAGCCGGTATGAGACAAGGGGTGCGCATTGTTCGCGAGACCAAGTAAATGACCGTGGATGCAAAGGTGTCATGGCTGCTGATGGCGCCAGGTTTGTCATCTGCATCAGACCACGGGCTGATACAGCAAGTGGCTGAGAATGAATTGCAGCATAAGTGAGGGCAAGAGGATTTGTGATAACGGCCAATGGAGTCGGAACAAGGGAGTAGGCACAAAGACTAAAAACAGAAGATATCCGTTTGGGGAGCAGCAGAAGTGGAAGCCGAGTTAGCAAGACCAGAAGGCTAGACAAGCAAGCCGTGCCAAAAGATGTTGAGAGGCAATGATACGCGGCGGCTTGTATGATCTGTCTGGATGTTGGAGCGGGCGTACTGTATCTGTGAAAATACCACTGACTCACTGTTGCAGCTGTGATCGTACGTTGAATACCAGAGATGACTCCCAAAGACCACAGGTAGATCAGTACATAATAGGCTCCTAACCACCAACTGCTCGGATCCTTAAAAACAAGCATAGAACCTGAGGTATGTCCCGTTAGAAACACGCGTGTGAACATGAGCATCCAACCCCACGTCCACACGACCATGAGCAAAAGGACACCCAAGCCAAGAATCAGAAGCTCGATGTTTGCGGCAAGGATGCGGCAGGCAAATTCCAGTATGCCCACTGCTCGGCCTATAGCACGACGGCTGCGAATGATGTTATAAATCCAAGCACTGGCTATCACGAAAGGAATAGCTGACCCCCATCTCATGACTTTGTCTTGGATGCTCGACCCATGCCAGGCGCCACGAAAACTCGAGATGAAAGAATAGAGTGAGAAGGAATACAAAATGGCCGGTACGACGAATATGATAACATAGACTAGGACGCGTACATATGACCGTAGCAATGCGAGCCAAAGCAGAGATATAGATATCGAGACCAGAGTAAAAATTGCCAACCTAAAGAACGAGTTGTGGATAGTTGAGTATGCTGTATCGCCCCATTTAGGTAGGTCAGAGGGTGTAGAAGTATGAAGATAAATAAGGAACGAAGTGGCAAAGAGGCAAGCGATGGATATAAAAAATAGTTGGCCCCAGAAAGCGTCATAGACAGGTGAGCCGACCCTAACCGATGTGATCGACTCTTGGTATGAAGCTGGTGAGCTCTCACCTTGGAAGAGCGCCTGCGCCTCGGCGTTGTCTGGCCCTGGTGGCAGGGTGGATGAACCTATTCCAAGTATGCTCATTCGAAGCCCTGATTTTTCCCGAAATCGCTGGATCGAGGGCGGGGTATCATCACCTAATTCCGGGGGCGTAGCTTCCTCGGAATGGGCGTCCGATATAAGTGTGTCCTCCAAGCGAACATCAACGAGATTCTCGCCTCTTTGGAAGCTCATCCGTTTCGTTTGCATTTCCTCTCTAGGCTCAGCGGACAGCCCTTTGTTGAAGATCTGTGGATTTGGTGCATTATCGTCAAGACTGCCTTCGCGCCATGAGCTCCAAATACCCTTGCCCTTGGAGACTGTCCGAGTCACTTGTTGTGGCACGGATTCTTCTGGGCTGGAAAGGAATCTATCATCTTCATCATTTTCCGAAGAGTCCATCAGATGGTTGATGCCAAAATGTCGTCGTGACTTCTGCAAGGCATAGAAATCTGCAATTTCCCGCTCGTGTTCGGTTTCATCGTCCTCTTCTCGGAATTCATCTGTGGCACTGTAGAACAAAGGCGCTTGATGAACCGGACTACGCGAGCCCGGAGCGAGATTGGAAAGTTGCGAGGCGGCTGTTTGATACGGATCAACGGCCGCTCGCTGTAAAAAGGACCGTGAAGAAAGAGATCGTGGATTTCCTGGCGGCTGAATCAAGCGTTCATGGCCTTTTTGGCGGGCATCGTCGTAATGAATTACCAACCGGGACTGCGATTGTGCGAGGAATCGAGAGGCGTCTGAGCATGTTATTAAGATGGGTATCCCCAAAACGTAGCATAGGATACCTTCTAGCATTCAACAGGGAATCATACATTCAGAGAACATTGTGTTTAAAGCCTTTAGCCGACTTTGAAACTCCTATCTCTGCTACTTTCCTGATCGTTCTTGTTGCTTGGTGCCGAAAAGTGTGTCAAGTACTAGGTCATATATCACGCTCCCTGATAAGGACGCCGAGAATGTAGCGGTGAGCTCCTCTGAGTTCTTGATTCGCAAATCACAATAGAATTGTCGAGAAAGAACTACATAGCAGGTACTCCGTAGAGGAGAAAGAAAAGATCCAAACAGGAGCCTCGTGATTTTGATTACAGGTGTTGAGTATCAAAGGAGGACTAAGGGAAGGAGAGGCAGCCTGCCTGAGAGGGTTTGGTGTACCGTGACGAAGAGGGTTGGCCGCAGATGTAGCTTACAACCAGCCAGCGTCATATGGGCAAGGTCATGGTAACAGATGACTCAGCACTGGAGTAACTCAGTTAACTCATTGAATTAAGAGTTAGTGGGCTAGTCAACTCAGACAAAATTAGTTACCTTGTGACTGATACCCAGCAAATATGAAGATTTTTGTCCCGTTGGGCTTGAATTAACCTATCACCAGAGATACATACCTTTCTACACTTTTGACCTCGGAACTGTATCTTGAATTTAGCGTACAAGTGGGCTTCTCGATTTCCAATTAGCCAGTCCCCACCATAGTAATCCACTACAATATTGCTACGTAGTATTGATAGGCATTAACTTTTTAGTGCTAGTCCGGATCCGCAATACGTAGATATACGGTGCCTAAGCACGACTAACTACGCAAGTCTAAATAACGCGTTTTCCTCAAAGGTCCAACCCAAGCCAACGAACACATCCATCCTAGGCAATCTTACCATTTCTGAACCGCGATCGCAAGGGAAGGTTTTCTAAGTGTGCGTCGCAATCTTAGCTGACGGCCCCCAAAGAAACAAACCTTGGATGGGCTCCTCCCAACAGCTGGGGCTGGAGTATGACTTCACGAGTCTGATCTGCCGGACATTATAGAACCTCAGAAACAAGCTCCTCTACTTGATCATAGAGCTTCGTCGCTCTACTATACTCATGTCACAGCCATGGGACTACATCGCTAAGCTTGTCTGCATTGGCGACTCTGGAACTGGGAAATCCAGCGTGAGTTTCAAGGACAGTGACCTCAGCTAGGATGGCTCTGACAGACAGTACCCTATCTAGTTAACAATTCGACTCTGTGAAGGACGCTTCTCATCCTCCCACGATGTCACGATCGGCGTGGAGTTTGGTTCGCGCATCGTCCCAGTTGGCCCGCCCGCATCAAAAAGTCTTGAACTGAGACTAGACTCCCATGCTCGAAGATCTCCAACATCATCGTCTGTTTCGTCACCTCCTTCCCAGACATCCGCTGCTGCTTCGGGACAATCTGCTGTCACCGGACTACCCAGTCCTCCGCGCAAGGTCGTTGAGTGTCAAAAGAGAATGAAACTCTCTCTCTGGGATACGGCTGGTCAAGAAACATACAAATCCATAACCCGTTCTTACTTCCGCGGTGCTTCTGGTGCGCTTTTAGTCTTCGACATCACCAGGCCTTCCACTTTCTTATCTTGTACACAGTGGCTTCAGGATCTACGGCAAATCGCCGAAGACGGGATTGTGATTATTCTGGTTGGAAACAAGAGCGATCTGGCAGATGACGGTTCGACCTCGAATCAGAGAAGGGTGACCAGGCAGGAAGCCGAAGAGTGGTGCCACCAGAATAATGTGGCGAACTATATCGAAACTAGTGCAAAATCTGGCGATAACGTTGAATGTGCGTTTCTCGAGGTCGCTGACATGATCTACCACAATATTGAAGCCGGTAAATACGACCTACATGATCGCCGCAGCGGCGTCAAGGGCTTTGGCGCTACCGGTGGACCGAATCGTGGCGCTCCTAGGACCGTTACCCTGGGCCTGAACGATGCAATGCGCACCAGTGGAAATGGTGTCGTTGGTGGTTGTTGCTAATGGCTATACGGGTACCATCTGGACAACCAACTAGGCGGGTCGTGTGACTTAACTTGCACAATAAAAGCTCATTCTCACACCTAGCAATTCTAATTTCTAAACAAGCTGGAGGGATTCAAGAGGGGAAAGTAGCTCACTCACGTATCTACATGTCTGGCAAACTACATCCACAAACAAAAGAACAGATTGCTCAAGGATGTCTCCAAGAGATCTGAGACGGAAGGAGGCTTCTCCCATTAATTGTGGTTAAATGAAACATAGATTGGGTTGCTCAAGTAAATGAGCAGGCGCCCCAGTGGACATGTTAAATGAAAAAAATGATGGAGCAATGGAGCAGGCCAGTAGATCCTAGGAAGAAGGTCGACATTTTGTGTGATGGGGAGATTGAACCTCAATTACCAATTTTCCACCCACTCAGCCAGTTTAGATGCTTCCAATTCTGGCTTGGGCCCTCAATACCAAATACCACAACACGGAAGTATAAGAACAACCCGAATATCACAATATACAGCACTGTGTATAATACCACGCGCAACTTATCACTGGCCGACCGAGTGAACCAATCGACACAGAACCCAAATGTAAGTATGGCGTAATACAAAGCCGGATAGTAATGATGGACATAGGTCACCCGTGCCATAACCACGAAAGGTAAGTAATGCAGGATCCACCCCACAACCGGGTATAATCCTGAGTAATGTATATGGTCGATTTCAGCTTGTGTGAGCTCATTATAGCCTCGCTGCCAGCGCACAAGGTACCAGAGAACTAAAAGTCCGAAGGCAGCTAGACTGGCGCTACTGCCCCAGTATACGAAAGGGTTTCCTAGAAGATAGTACTTGACAGTGGTATCATCCCAGGAACACATGCGGAGACCAACGTTCAAGATTGGCCACTGCCAGAACTTTGAGGCGAGATCGTCCTGCTTGTCTGGATCAGGGACCAGGGCGTTGTTGGATGTCATCATGGCGACATTCAAATGAATGAAGTCTTTCCAAAATGGCGACTTGTAAGAACCAGGATCTCCCGGTGGAACTAAAATAAGAGTGAGTAAACCGAGCGCCACGATGAGCAGATGACAGAAAAGGAGGACAGTGCTTACGTCTCTCGTTGTAATGGGACTCGACATTCCAGTGCGTATACACATCGTTGGGCTTATTTTCCTTGACACAGGTAGTTTCGATCTGCTTGAAACCCCACTGTGGGAGATTCACATTTCCAGCCCTCAGGTAGCAACCTAGGACAGGGTGCTTCAGGCGAAATGCCGTGGTAAGAGTTCGGACTCTACTCCTGTCCTTGGAAGCGACATCGTCAACAACTTCAATTGCCCAATGATCTTTGTCGTCTCCAATCGTAATGTTGCCATAGCAGGATACTTCGTAGTGGCCTTTGGTTACTGGCGCCGGGATCGCATGCGAGTGTAGATTTCGGCCTGTTTGCCCATGAATTAAGCGTACCACATCGCCGTCGCCGATAAACCTCAGTGGGCCATTGGCATCATACTCCATATCCTGTCGATTGGGGTAGATGAACCAGTCATTGTTCGCGTCTTTATGGTGGTAACATGTGACTTGCTGTTGAGCAGATCCTTCAGGATAAGTTTGAACATGCGAATGTAACAGGCCACCACCGTAGCCCATGTTTTTCAGGGTAACCCTCGAGCCAAAAGCAACCTCAAGAGGACTGTCCTGCCCAACTTCAGTCCCTTTAAGATTGGCCTGGAAGAGTGAACTCATTTGCGCGTCACCAGGGCCACTATTTTCCAATATCCAGAAATGGGCGTAGAACGAGAGGATGTAGACGATACATGGCAGAAGTATCAAGCCTGCAATGCGAGCCAACAAGTGGTTCGCTAACACAGCCTGTCATTTTTTAGCAACGGTCTTGGTCATTGAAATATACCATAACGTACCCTTCGCATCTTCACGTCGCCGAATTTGTTCCATAGGTCTTCAACTGTGTACAATCCGACGATCGCTGTGCAAAAAAATCCAACCCATTTGACGCTGCAGACACAGCCAATGCTGACGCCGGTGAGAAAAAGCCATGTGAACCATTCGAGGGAGAAACTATTCGTCTGCAATCGATGGAACTTCGCCCAGCATAGAGTGGTTGTGAAAGTGAAACATAGTAGCATAGAATCAAGTAGAATGAACCTCGAGATTGTCGCATACGAGTTCTCAAATAGTACCATCAAGCTGATAAGCCACACAGTGGCTCGGCGAAAACCGAGCTCGCGAGCGGTAAAATATGCCAAAGGGACGCAAGCTGCACCAAAGGCAGCATTGAATACACGCATGAAGGTGTAATTGACATCCTGAGGGTATTGTTCTCCGGACTTAAACTCGAAGGAGCCGTTGTATCCAGCAAGATACCCGGATAGTCCGACCAGCATCTTGCCTAACGGGGGGTGGACATCGAAGTAGAATTCGCGCTTCAGATAATGGGACCCAAATTTGCCAAAACTAGAAAGCAATGAGCAACGGATTAGCCCAGTGGTGTACATACTTTTCCAGAACAGTGACAATCTTACTGCGCTTCATCCCATGTGACAATGTTCGAACGTCCAATGCGATACATGCGAGTGAAAATAGACATTACTGTAAGCAGCAACGGTGCGATGATAGGCTCCCAGTAGGCTATGTCAGAATCCGGTCGAGGCTACACCTCATAGAACGTATGTGAGTTGCATTTCAATACCACCTGTTGATGATGCTCACCTTGTATTTCACATCCATCTCATCATTGTGATTTTGATCTGATGTAACATTCGGCTTCCCCCCACGTGCAGTCGTCCTGCGCCTTAAATCAGGTGCGACATTGGCACCAGTGCTTGAGCCGGTTGTTTCGGCCATAGCTCAGAGAGAAAAGGAAAAGAAAGAGTAAGAAACACGTCTGTTGTAGCTTTTGTAGCTGAAAGTGTAAGGGGCTGGATAGCAGTCTTAAGCTGGCACAATCTGGCACAGTGAACCTAGCGAAAATTGAGACTTGATTTCAAATAATAGGGGTCATCTCTTGAAGTCCCACGGGAAGCTTCATATGTCAGTAGAGAAAGACTGCAGAAGATGACTGTTTTAAAGAATGTAAGGGGTTTAGATAAAGATTTGAAGTGGCAGTGGGATGAGTCGAATTCGACAAGGTAAGTAGGAAGATAACACGATGAATAAAAGGATTAGAGTTCTTGACAGAAGTGAACTGCAGGACCAAGAGAAGATTGAAGGAAATGGCGAGGGGCAAAGACAGGCATGGAAAAGGCGCAGCACATTCAGGTGAAAGGGAGAGTTGGCCTGGAGTTAACATGGAAAGCCCGGGCGCATGTTTGAATGGTTTCCGCCCCACTTGGGGGCTAGGTGCTAAGTACTGAGGACAGCAGACCCAGACAACACGGATCCATGATAAGCACATTACCTCATTAGTGTTGACACTCAAGATGCGATTCCATGGCGCATTGAGTTAGCCTCGGTTCGCATACCTTACAAATGAGTTTTCATGTATATGGCAGCTGCTTCTAGAGGAACATAAGGTTCCGCGAAGTACTACATAAAAATATAAAGATGGGCTATATCTCACGAGCACAGTACACCGTCATGCTGCTAGCCTGTATCTGAAACACAACGCGATAACTGTAGTCCGCGCTTCTATGCCAAAAATTTCAGTATGAGGACATCGGAACGAACACAAACACAAAAAAACGACATCTAACAACGGAAGAGGCAAAACATTCCCAGCGCAGGTTGCTTGAATAACAAACTAGGTCAATATTGTGCGCCCAAAGGCGAAAACACGATCGAGGCAGAAAAGGGCAGCAGCGCAGTTTCCTGTGTAATAATACGTTAGCAATACAATGAGTGACTGCCCTAGTCATTCTCCTCCTGCCCAAGGCGGCTATATTGGTTGTTTTGTGCCGAAGAACCAGATCCCTTATGACGGGTTATCATATTGGAGATCCAACCGCCGAATCCCTCCGATCGACTAGCATGACCCTCTGGATTTAGAGACCTAACAGACTTATTATAGGCACTAGGGCTCAAATTGGGCGGATCAATGTCCAGTCCAGGAATCGCATTATCCGCTCCTAAAGGACCATATTGTCGCCTGATGTCGAGCGAAGGCACAGGTGAGCCGGCACTCATCAAGGAGCCACGTTCCGCCTGGGTTGCTGGAGTCGGCATAGAGGTCGTTGCATCGCCGAACAAAGTATTCATATCCTCCAACCGGACACCACTTGTCTCCGGATATAGGAAATACACTAAATGATAATTGTCAGGTAGGCCGTGACTGTGCGAGAAATTACAAGGGTGTACTGACCTAACACAAAACTGCATGCACAGAAGAAAGCATGGACCAGGTAGAGACGCCACTTGATTGCGGCTTGTAGGACGGGTGTGATTTCCCCAACCAGCCAATTGAAGGCCCAATTCGCCGCAGTGCTGAGACTCGCGCCCTTTGCACGGATGCTTAAGGGCAAAATTTCGGGGGGGTAGAGCCACGGTATAGGTCCCCAAGATGCGCCAAAGGCAGCATTGTATATCATGACAAAGATGACCGTGAGCGTTGGTGTTGCTGCAACATCTATATAGATGAAATACGAGATCAAAGACAAGGACACAATCATAGCCACTGCCCCTGAGAGAAGAATTGGCCGTCTTCCCCACCGGTCGACAAGATACCATGGAGGAACCGTAGAAGCAAGATAGGATATGGCGTTTATGCCGGTCATTAGAATAGCATCACGGCCAGCCCACCCTGCAGATTCAAAAACGAGTGGGGCGTAATAAGAGATGACGTTGATTCCGTTCAGCTGAGCCAATGCCTGTGCTGACATTGCGATCAATACCCGTCTGTAGTAACGTTTGAACATGTCGCTGTAGGATCTCTCGCCCTCTTGCCGTTGAAGAAGAACATTCATCTTGATTTCTCTGTATTCTTGTCTGGCTTTGTCGTTGTGCAGATCACCCTTGCCATATAAATTCGCTATAACGACCATACCTTCCTCGTCAAAATCGTTATCTAGTAGCCACCTGGTCTGCTGTGAGATATGTACCCAGTAAACACATGTGACTGATTTTTAGTCACTTACCTGGGAGATTCGCAGATGATCAGACTACCCACACCAAGCAAAGCACCCATAATGCATTGACAGAGCAGAGGGAGACGCCAGGAGTAATTACTATCTATGAAGCTGCAGAAATAGTCAACCCAGACACTTGCAGCGTAGCCGGAAATATTCCCCGTGAATTCAATGCATGCTAGCTTTCCACGGTTATGGGGGGGCTATGTGAGACAGTGTCAATATAAACCGTGCAATCGCTTGGGTTGGGCTAGTGGTAATATTTACCGAGATCTCGGACTGATAAACGGGCACGATGGTAGAGAGTGCTCCAACCCCTAACCCTGCAATGATACGGCCGACCATCATCATAGGCAGACCAGTCGCAAATGCCTGGAAAGCGCCACCAACGAAGAAGACAATTGACCCATAAAGTATCGTTTTGCGACGCCCGATCAGATCGCCAACTCGCCCAACAAGTAGGGATGAAATGAATGCTCCAACTTCTAGAATCGCAACAACAGTGCCAATCGCAGCTCGTGATGGTTGATTGAAGTAATCCTTGAAATACCATCCTCTAAGATTCATCAGCTATCGTCATCTGAATTTGGCATTGCCGAGCATGAAACACATACGTTATGATGCCAGACATCACTCCTTGGTCATAGCCGAAGAGAAAGACGCCTAAAGATACAAAAACACTCGTGAAATACCTACATGACGTCAGCTCAGCGCATATGAATAGTTTGTCACTCAATCTGAGTTGGCCTTACAGCAATGGTTTGCCAACCAGGCCATGCATCTGGGCATTTTGTCGATTGTTTGGGGACATTATCGTTGCTAAGATGCGTTCTGCACGTGAAATCCGCCTGGGCAGTGGCTGAGGTATCTCAATCGATGTCTTCTCGGTTGCGGTACTGCCAATGTATGGCTGGTTTAGTATCCGGATACGCTTTGGCTGTTTGGGTCGGTCCTGGGAGCCAATTGGGTTAGATGTATCTAGTTCTAGTCGTTTTGAAAGGTTAGTCTGTAGTGGATGCTCTGCATCAGCCGGCTGTTCGGCCAAATCGCCACTGTCAGTCCAGACAAACTCTGAGTTACCCGATGATAGCGAAGAACGCCGTCGACTTTCCCCCTCAGCCGCCGACTGCCGTACGTCGCCTGACGCAGCAGTGGAAAATCGCGTTTGAGAATGTAGGTGCCGCAAGGGTATGCTCGAAGAAGTATGCCGTCGAGATGTTTGAGAAGGAATGTTGGCGGTGATGATGGGCTGGACGTGACAGCCCTTTGCCCCCGGAACAATCAGTCCTCTTCTCTATTTTATGATATAATTGACCGGTTTCCTTGACCACCCCGATCAAGGATAAAAAAGAACGGTATCAGGCGCAGCCCACAAACTAGCTGTGCAACAGCCGTGGTTCGCCTGTTGGAAAAGGGGGTTTAGAAGGCGACGCTTGGAGCTAGGGCACAACCGTTAATTCGCAGGTGGAGGATAGTAACAAAGCACTGCAGTGGGACTGAAGGGGCACGCCAGAGCGAGAAATATTCAAGTTGAGCGAAAGTGTGCAGCAAAAGACAAGTGCATGGAAAAGCACTGTGGGCGGAGAGCGGTGATGCACTAATTGACACTGGTCATAAGGCCGCTCACGAGACAGTTGCCAACTTGGTTGATCGACGCAGGATGACGGAGTCCGGAGCCTGACAGTCGAGAATGGTAAGATAGCAGGGAATGTTGACACGAGATCAGAGGGGGTAGATCAAACACAAGATTTTGTAAATAAGGAGCATACTAGCCTCACTGAGCACATCGATTATCAGTATACCATAGTAATCCCAAGGCTTCTATGGTAGAAATTCAAGGGTGGTATGTGTACAGTATGTGTATGTACTGTACCCATTGTCTTTGAAAGGTGGAGGGAACCCCGCAAGCCAGTCCGCCAGACCTGGATGCGTGGACCCCAGCGTGAATGAACAAGTCGGTAAACGCGGCTAGTCTAGGCCGATGTCTACCCGTTAGAAGTGGATGATGTACTCCGTACCTACGTACTCCATACGTACCACAAGAGTCATTGCGGTAACTACCCGCTCGTTTGCCTAGTGTACTTAGTACCTAATATGCATATTTTTGTCCCAAGTTAGTCTCCACCAACAGCCCAATACGTAGAGACTCATCGATGCAACAACACCCCCCTAAGCAACATTGGTCATCTCTATCCTGTAAATGATTATACCTTATACTCTCAATTGATAAAGAAATTCTGAATCAATTCTACTTCTGTTCACTAAATATCGGACATGCGATTTGACTACCAGTTTTTTATTCCTAGATTCATCTATTATGTTCCAGCATGTAGCTTGATGGAACCTACAATTCTACTCCGGAGTAGGTGATTCTAGTTGTATACTGTGGAAAAGAGCTCTGGCCAAGGAAAGACTTACTTTTTTAATTACTCTACAGTAGAAAGATAGCTCGGTGTTTATGTTTATAGTTGATCTTTATTTCATGAATCTAAAAACTACTTCTGAATTTACTTATGATTGAGTGCCCAGCTACTTACATATCTGCGCAGATTGGTATGGCAGAACACTGCCGAGGCTGGGTGGCAGAAAGTCACAGGGTCGCCGGTAATGACAATAATAAGTAATCTACCGAGTACAAATATTTTAATTTCAAATCCAATAAGTAATATTTATGCCATGTAAGATCTAACAGTAGTATATTTGAAGCTATTCCTATATAATTTATAAGCTACTTAGGGCACTATCTTACATATAAAGAGATTTATATCATTCAAGTTTCTACTAAACAGTTAAGGATCCATACAGTGCGGACTACTGTACACTAAGTATTGTTCTCATAACACTTATATAGTTATTTACCAGAAGTTCATTTCAATATTCATATGGTCATTTTATATACATATAATTTCAGACCAGTCAAAAAACCCTCTCGGGGCCATTTCCACCACCTACCCCTTTCCGACAGGGACGTACCTTACTTGATGGTATCTTGCAGTAGCTGGCAATTTCTAACATAGCACATATCTCAATGGCCTGAACTGATGCGTAGCCGAGAAGGCCGCCGTGTGGGAGAAGATGCTCCAGAATAGGAATGAGGACGGTAAGCCGGAGATATTGTTTCGACCAAGACAATGAGAACATCGGTGAGAATAGCGATCCTTTTCATGCCACGAAGAAGAAACTATGTATTTTATACCTAGAAAAGTCGAAAGCTATAGTTTCTCACGGCAGTAGAATACTATATCCATCCCTCTCAATATATACATTATCCGACATATACGCATATTTACGACGGACCAACTCAAAAATCACAAGCCCAGCACTTGTGCTTGGCACTTGACGTATAGCGTCTCTGGCAAATCCACGAAAGAGCCACTTCCTCCAGCCCCCGACCCTAGTCGCCTTTCGCTTGCATCTTTTCAATGTTTCCTGATATGCATGGTAGTAAAGACGTAGCATTTGTCGTCTCGAAGGATAGAGACTGGCTTGATGGTCAAGATATTCCAAGCGAGTGACATGGATGCTTTGAATGACCGACAGCGGTCGTTGTATGGCTTGTTGAGCCACTGAAGCTATCACACCCGCGGCCATGAGAAAACATGGCTCCAATGCATAATGGGGTCTTATGAGTGAGACACTGTGGTTTCCGGACTGGACAGTGTGCACTCTCTGCGCATTAAGAGTATGCAACGACCCATAGTACCACGTGATAAATGAGTAGTACCCCTGAGATTTTATGAATTCGAACGATGAGAAGAAAAATGCATAGCCAAGGGAATCACGCAGGAAGGAAAGGCCCCAACCTGCGAAAATACCCCGAGCTCCAATCTGAGTAAGCTTTTGACGGCCATAATGCCACATACTCCGGTACTGCCCCTCAAGAAGATCACTTGTTCTTAGACGGACTTGGAGAGCATCAAGGGGAGCGGCTACTATAGACTGAATAGTTCCGGCTATGAATCCGGCTGCGAATGTGTTTGAAGGCGGAGGAGGGGGGTATATACGTTTGATGCCTTGCGACACAGTTTCGTTAAGACTTCCAAGAACCTGGAGATATGATGTGTAAAGTATGGCACCAACTCTGCGGTAGTTAGAGGATATGCACATATATGTGGTACAATGATTGGGAGAGCTCACGCGGCATTCGCTAACAAAGGGGGCATAACTTGATTGGGAATGAAGCGCCAACCATACGTACGAACGGCGTGCATCAAGAGCCCGGGTGTGGTCGTATGCAAGGACCAGCCAGACTTCGCTGAGTGGGGGTTAACAGCCCTGGCAAATGCCTTTGCAGAGTTAGAGTAGAACCGGAAAAATCAGCGAAGAACTGAGGTGATAGGGACGTGGAAGGCCAGGCTACACACCATATAGCTGCAAATGCAAGGCTTGTTAATATCCAACAGAAATGATTTGAGTGGGCAACTTGAATTCATACTCAACTCGGGTACGAAAAAAGGCCTTTATAGGTGCCCTGAAATAAAAGGCAACAATTTGCGCACTCAGAGCACGAGTACCAGCAGCAGAGGCACCAGTTGCAGCATTGTGTCGAGATTTCCTTCGAGAGGTTGAGTCCGATTGAATCAGGTCGTCGATGCTCGCATGATCTGTACGAGCAGATGATAGATCATCTGTCATCTTGAAAACTCAGAAGAAGATCTCGCAAAGCCAGGCTTCGATTTTGGCAAAAGAGCACTAGCGGCTAAGACGAAAGCATGGCAAATTAATACTCGAATTTCATGAACGACTCGGTCATATGTGCATTGTGTATGAGTAAGAGTGTGACAGGTCGGTGAGAGATTTTACAACGTTGTGCGATCAGGTAGTATCTCAGATGAAGAATGAAGAGAAACCTGACGAAGTAGTCCTGAAGAAGCCGATGGGGATATCGGCCAGACTGAGGTCAACACAAACGATGCACTGTACCCTCAAATACTCAAAGGTATACATATAACAGACGGTCACACAAAATTAAAATCAAACAGCTCAAACATGTCTTACTAATATCTTACTTAACCTTCTGAGAACGCGCTTCGTCTCGCGTTAAGATTGCGCCTGGCTTCCTCCGCAACTGTAAATTAAATGCTCAGTTGCGGTTCAACACGCTTCTCTTCCGATAAATTTTTCTGCAACACCGGCAGCTTCAGATCTCGTCCCAGGGTAGTCTGTAGCTTCTCCTCCTACAGCCTATCACTTCGACCATTCCCTTTCCAGTTCCACCTTTGAACGTTCATTCTAGTTTTGTCCGGGAGTTCTTGTTAAAGGACTGCGTGCTGCTACGTACGGCGAACCTCTAAGCGTTTAGCCCGCGTCACTGGAAACCCTACACCATGGCAGAAGAGATTGTGATTGATAAGAATACATTCTTCAACCGACTCACGAGCTTCTATTCAGCATGGAAAGCAGATAGACGCTCCAACAATGCCACTTTTGGCGGCGTTTCATCTATTGTTATTCTCATGGGGAAGACAGACGAGGCTAACAGTTTTCAAAAAAACAACGCGATGCATGTGAGTTGTTGCTGAGGTGATAAACAGTCTGGCAACACACTAATGGACAAATGACTAGTTCTGGCTACTTGGCTATGAATTCCCTGCTACTCTCCTGGTATTCACCACTGAGGTGGTATATGTCGTTACAACCGCTAAGAAAGGTAAATCCTTCGGTCTTTTTGATTCTTTAAACGTTCCTGTGCCCGGTACTTCGATATACCTTTTACTAAGCAAAATTAATCTACAGCCAAACATCTTGAGCCATTGAGAGGGGGGAAAGTCCCAGTAGAGATTTTGGTGACCTCGAAGAATCCAGAAGAGAAAACGAAATCATTTGAGAAGTGCATAGAGGTCATCAAGACAGCTGGTGTAAGTTATGGCACGGCTATAAAGGTGAACATCACATGCTAAGGTACAACGTGCTGCTTTAGAAAAAAGTTGGTATCTTGCCAAAGGATACAGCTTCTGGCCCCTTTTCCGAGGATTGGAGGAGGGCTTACGCAGCTGGTGGTGGAGAATTGGAAGAAGTCGACATATCTGGCGCCCTGTCAGCTGCACTTGCAGTCAAGGATACAGATGAACTAGTCAGTTCCTCCAAGCTGCGTCGTGTCAGCTAGAATTGCAATCGTTAACTGTTCTGAAGGTATCCATCCGAAATGCGTCAAGAGCCTGTAGTGGCTTGATGGCCGATTATTTTGTGGACGAAATGTCTCGTCTCCTTGATGAAGAGAAGCAAATGACCCACAAGGCTCTCGCCATGAAGATTGACGCGAAGATTGACGACGCTAAATTTTTCAACAAATTAGCAAAACTCCCAAGTGAATTCGATCCCCAGCAAATTGACTGGGCTTACGGTCCTATTGTACAAAGTGGAGGAAAATATGACCTTCGGCTAACAGCTTCTTCCGACAATAACAATCTTCAACCAGGGATCATTGTCGCAGGATTTGGAATACGCTACAGGACTTACAGTTCGCTCATCGCGCGTACATACCTTGTTGATCCAAGCAAGTCTCAGGAGGCAAACTATGCGTTCCTTCTGAATGTTCACGATGCAGTCGTCAAAGACATTCGTGAGGGTGCAGTGGCTAAGGACTTGTATCACAAAGCGATCAGTTTGGTTCGGGCTAAAAAGCCAGAGCTTGAGACGCACTTCGTTAAATCGGTTGGCGCAGGTGTAGGAATTGAACTCCGCGATTCTAACATGCTGCTAAATGGGAAGAATGACAAGATATTGAAGAGTGGCATGACATTTTCAGTCACTGTTGGGCTTACTGATGTTGAGGATTCCAGTGCAAAAGATCGGGGTAGCTCCGTTTATTCAATGGTCATCACTGATACAGTCCGTGTCGGCGAAAATGGGCCACTTGTTTTTACGAAAGACGCTGGTGTGGACATGGACTCAGTTTCCTTCTATTTTGGGGATGAAGAAGAATCTGAAAAGCCCGTCAAGGAGAAGAAGGAGGTCAAGTCGAGCGCCATTGCCAGCAGGAATGTCACTCGAACGAAGTTGCGTGCCGAGAGGCCAACCCAAATCAATGAAGGCGCAGAGGCGCGTCGTCGTGAGCATCAAAAGGAGCTAGCCACCAAGAAAACAAAAGAAGGGATGGACAGGTTCGCAGGTACTACAGGGGATGAAAATGGGGTCACACACAAAAAGTTTAAGAGATTCGAGTCTTACAAAAGGGATAATCAATTGCCGACAAAAGTGAAAGACCTCACTATCTATGTCGACCACAAGGCTTCCACAGTCATCGTCCCCATCATGGGCCGACCTGTCCCATTTCATATCAATACCATCAAGAATGCGAGCAAGAGTGACGAGGGGGAATATGCCTATCTGAGAATCAACTTTCTATCACCAGGCCAAGGTGTTGGCAGGAAAGATGATCAGCCCTTCGAGGATCTCTCGGCACATTTTCTACGGAACCTGACTCTTAGGTCTAAAGATAATAATCGACTCGCCCAGGTGGCTCAAGATATCACAGAGCTTCGGAAAAATGCACTGCGACGTGAGCAGGAAAAGAAGGAAATGGAGGATGTGGTCGAGCAGGACAAATTGATTGAAGTCAGGAGTAAGTGACTCAGTGATCATTGCCTATGCGAGGATTCAGGATAACCATTTTAGACCGTCGTCCTGTCAAATTACCTGACGTTTATCTGCGGCCACCTTTGGACGGGAAGCGAGTCCCTGGTGAGGTTGAGATACATCAGAACGGCCTTCGCTATTTGTCGCCCTTCCGCAATGAACACGTCGATGTGCTTTTCAGCAATGTGAAGCATCTTTTTTTCCAACCATGCGCTCATGAGTTGATCGTCTTGATACACGTCCATCTGAAGACACCTATACTGATAGGAAAAAGGAAGACTAGGGATGTTCAATTCTACAGGGAAGCTACTGAGATGCAGTTCGATGAGACTGGGAACCGCAGACGTAAACACCGTTATGGGGACGAAGAGGAGTTTGAGGCTGAACAAGAAGAACGGCGACGAAGAGCAGCATTGGACCGCGAGTTCAAGGCGTTTGCTGAAAAGATCGCAGATGCTGGCAAAGACGAAGGAGTCGATGTTGATATCCCATTCAGAGAAATTGGCTTCACTGGCGTTCCCAACCGGTCAAATGTCTTAATTCAGCCTACTACAGACGCTCTCGTCCAATTGACTGAGCCCCCGTTCTTGGTGATCACTCTTAACGAAGTTGAAATTGCCCACCTAGAAAGAGTACAGGTAAGTTACAGCCTTTTCACTGGTCTTGTCGACTCTAATGTTTCTACAGTTTGGACTCAAAAACTTTGACCTTGTCTTTGTTTTCAAGGACTTCCACCGGGCGCCCGTGCACATCAACACCATTCCCGTGGAGTCGTTGGAGGGTGTGAAAGATTGGTTGGATTCTGTCGACCTCGCTTTCACAGAAGGCCCCCTAAATCTAAACTGGACCACTATCATGAAGACAGTAGTGAGTGACCCCTACGGATTCTTTGTGGATGGAGGTTGGTCGTTCTTGGCAGCAGAATCCGACTCTGAGGGCGGATCGGACGAGGAAGAGGAGTCTGCGTTTGAGCTCTCAGAATCCGAGCTTGCGGCTGCGGACGAGAGCTCCGAAGATGACAGCGAATTTGATGATGATGCTAGTGCTGAAGCAAGTGATGACTTCAGTGCGGATGAAGAGAGCGGTGAGGATTGGGACGAGCTCGAATTGAAGGCGAAGAAGAAGGATAGGGAAGGCAGTTTGGACGATGAGGAGCGGGGCAAGAAACGAAAGCGATAGTTGAGATGATATGTTTGGCTTTGGCATGGCGACTACCACTCCTGCCACTGCCACTACTACTATCACTACTGTGATGACAACCTGATTTGCTACCATCTTAATGCAGTCACATATGGATTTGCCGTACCCATTGATCGGTATAATATTTACCGCAAACTCTTAGGTCCGCTTGACACGAGCAACTGCGACCAAGTAATATAATAGCTGACGTTACTGAATGAAACGTGAATAGGAGTAGTCTGAGGTGCTGTGTACAGACTATATGCAGTAAACCTCGACGTGTCTCTACTCCTTCACTTCCCTGCCCTCATGGAAAACCACATGTTCCTCATTCTCTCAATTTGGTCAGGTGTAAAGTTCTCGTAGCAATCATCAGATGAATAGTCCATAAAATTGTGGATTGCATCCAGACCAGGGAGGTCTGGGCATGAGTCTTTCTGAGCCGGACAACCATTTGTCGGTTCAGATTGTTGTGGGGTGTCGTCTATATAGTCGCCTTCGTTATTGGATGAGCAAGTGTCTCCTTCAAATGTATGGAGAAGTCCGTTCCAGTGCCCAATCTCGTGGACAGCCGTTCCTCCTCGGTTGTAATGCGCTAGGGAACCTCCGGGCATGGTCCGGGCCAGGACATTACAGCCGTCCTTCATATAGGTGGAACGTGGGCTACTGGCATTTATGCTTGGGTCAGGCAGAGTGCAAAAGCCGAGTACGCTGGACGATAGAGTACCCATCTGTCGCGCAGAGACATCGCGCAATGCTCGAGCACCTCCATCAGATGAAATCTGAAGATCTGTCTGGAAATAAACATTAAGAGTGCTGTAACTCCCACGGCGCAAAGCACTTTTCATGGCAATTTCATCCTGGTTGTAGGCCCATGT